GTGACCCTCTGGTGTACCAGGCCTGGCCAGAAGGAGGAGAACAGGACCAACCGTATCGAAACGCTGTGGAGCTTTAACCACAGAGGGACGGTGGGAGAACTGGGACTGTGAGGAACAACTCGACTTCATCTGTATCAGAGTGTGAGAGTGGAAGTAGTGATAAGTTGTACAGTAATAATGAATGTATGGAAAGCAGAGCTACAGTGTGGGTTTCATGTCAGTAAATAATATTGTTGTGTCCAGTTTTTTCACTTCATTTACGCTGGATTAAAAATATATGTACACTTCATGGAAAGACCATGGAAAATCTCATCTAACACAAGATCACAATATTGTTCCAGCAATATCTAAGTTATCCTTTCACAATTTTATTTTCCTAATATTTATTTACTTTTCAATCTGTGCCCACCCCATTATACACCTTCTGGGCCTTTTCTACACTGCATTTAAATTACCTTTCATGTATTTAAAGGTTGTTCAGTTTTACTTTCCCATGGTCTAGTTTTATTTTTTATTTTAGTTCACAATAATATCTTGATCCTTTTTTAATCGTGTTATGTTTACAGTGTTGTTTTTAGGTTTTTTCTTGTTGTGCCACCATTAGGTCAAAACTTGACTTTGTCCTCTACCAAATTTTTGCAATATGTTCCCATCAACCTCAGCTGTTTGTGTTTAGTGCTAATAAGAAAATGTTAGCATGCTAACACATTAACCATTTACCTGCTAACAATCAGCATGTTAAGCATTGTCATTTCGAGCTTGCTGACGTTAGCCTTTAGCTGAAAGCACTGCTGTGCCTCAGTACAGCTGCTAGTATGGCTATAGACTCTCAGTCATGTTGAATCCCTGGTTTCTGGAGACCCATCAGATTCTGTGAGAAGATTTAATTGTCACTCAACCATATTTTAACTGCTGTTACCACAAATTGAGCTATGGAGAAACTGGTGGACAATAGGCCTATAGGTCTGTCTGTAGGGGCCTTACACCTGACCGATCAATCCCTCAGGCTTTTTATCCTCTGTTGGTCCTCTTGCATCACATGCTCTGGTAGGTATCAGGTAACAGATTTGGACACAATACTTATCTATATTCCCAAAAGACTACACAATGCAATTCACTGAAGTTCTGGAAGTGGTTCAAAGTGAAAAGGCAGTCAGGATATGATTCAGACAGGAACAACATTGTTGCTTAAGGTCAAATGGAAATAAACTTCCTACAGGCAAATTGTGTTTAGGAAAATCTGTGGAGGCTTCACTGACTTCAGCTAAATCCCTTGCAAATGTAGTAAAAATAATGTAATGGTTTATTATACTTCTGAAATGAAGCTAGAATGAACCACTGGCCTCTTTTGGGAAAACTACATTTTCATATCAATCTGGGCCACTGTGTTACTACAATGCATCTGGAGCCTTTAGCACCATAGTGACTTGTGATCCCCGGGGGAAGATTCCAGCTTTTTATGGTCAATAATCCATTTTAATGATTGTATTCTGTCCCAACTTCATTCTGCTTTACAGATGTTGGTGATCCTCTCACTTTTGAGGATTTGTGTGGAAACTGTGAGGTGTAACTGGAACTGCTTTAATGCCAGGTGCTTTGAAGTCTGATGATCTTATTCAATAAGAGGCAATCAATGGATTTTGTAATCAACTACAGCAGCGCCATACACACTGAAACGCTTGCCTCAAAACTGTTGTACTGATGAAATGAAGGAGAATTAAGATATTAAGTGTAACAAACATCACATATCTTGTTTCTCTTGACATTTGTTTACTTTTGGCACAAGGCAATGTAAAAGAGTAATACTGCACTAATGCATTACATTCACACACACACACACACACACACACACACACACACACACACACACACTTATATCAGTTCATGTTTAAGTGACGTAGCCATAACCAAAGAGCTTCACACCAAACCTAATTTCCAAGGCAAAACTGTGGACGTGTCTCTTCAGTGTTTTGTTCACTGTGAAGAGACAATAGAAGAGGGACCACACTGAGACACAGGCTTCACCTTGAACAGACCATTTGTTTTGTATTCAACAATCATCTGTAAACTTCACCAACCATGAAGTCTGTGGTTTTGAAATTACTCGTAATACTTGTGAGTGTGTCGGCGCAGATTGGAAAGCATGTTTTAGTGCAAAACATGTCAACATGGCCTTTGGCTCAGCAGTACTGCAGAGACAAACACACTGATCTTTCCTCCATTTCTTCACCGTGGGATGAAGAGAGGCTGAAAAACACAAGAGGAGGCATCGGTGGAAGGGTCTGGATTGGTCTCTATCGAAACGAAACCCAGTGGAAGTGGTCAGGAGGAGGAAATGCAACATATGTACCGTGGGATACGGATGAACCAGATGGGGTATTGCACCAATATGTTGGTGCCGTTTGTTGGCAAGGCTGCAATTGGGATGGGTGGCATAACATAGGGTCATCTCACATTCTGCCTTTTTTATGCTTCAACCTGATCCTGGTGGAAGAAAAGAAGACCTGGGAGGATGCACTGTTACACTGCAGTCAGACAGACACTACACTCACAAGCCTGATCTCTGAGACCGAGAACCTTCAGGCGCTGAGAAAGATCCAGCACAACAACATCACTGAGCGGGTGTGGATCGGGCTGCGTTTCCTGGGGCACCGCTGGCTGTGGGTGGACGGAGAACCTCTGGTGTATGAGGACTGGGCAGAAGGAGGAGAAGAGGACCACCAATGTCCAATAATGAAACGCTGTGGAGCTTTAACCAAAGGGGGACAGTGGGAGAACTGGGACTGTGAGGACAGCCTCCACTTCATCTGCTATTAAATCTCATTGTTATTTTAATCAACATCTATTCTTGCTGGAAAGGTATAATGTTACGTTATTCACTTTGTTTGACAGGATGCTTTAAAATATCAGTTCAAATATTTCTAATTATTAGTGCCATTTGTACTATCATGGCAAAGTAGAGTGTTTTGATTTTAGCTTTAAGTTAACTTTATGTTAATTTATAACATATTTAATCAAATGTTGAAAAAATAGATAGAAAGCTTATTAAAACTGGACATTTAATTAAGTTTTCTTTTATTACAACCTTCCTACAGTGTAGAACAGCAGTTCACAACCCAGTCCCTAACATGCAGGACAGCAGAACTTGCAGCTCTACTTTATGACGCCTTCTCTAATGACGGTTTTAATGCTGACGGGTTGAGCAGCAGAAACAGGTCGACCTGAACAGTGCACATCAAAGTGAGTGGCGGAAAGAGAGGAGAAATTGATCAAAAACATGCAAGATAGAGGAACTTGAGGACTGGGTTGGCAACCACTGGTGTAGAAGACCTTTTTAGACCTCATTAAATGTTGAAAACTGTTGCTTTATTCCATATGTGTTTAATATATTCTGCTTATAGTGGCTGATCAAATCTAGTGGCTCTCTCTCCATATGTTTGATGGGTTTGATGATAACATGGTTGATTGTATATGTACAGCTGGTATAAAGAAATAAAGCAAAGTTAACAATAAATCACTCTTCTTAATTTCCAAAATAAAAAAAGTCAAAATTACTTCTTTTTTTTTGTTAAAAACCCCTCATGGGGAGGCACTCATGTGATTGGCTGTAAAGGAGTGAGACATCTGATTGGCTGCAGACGAACCCCCTTGTAGAAAAAATGCATTTGTGGATCGGAGTCAGATGAGTCTCAAAAATCCACACACAAATACAGGGAGGTTTACAAATTAAAAGCACAGAGACAAATGTGTGTTTGACAATTCATATATCAATGTAACAACTTCCAAATATGTATTTGATGAAAATTGCAAATACCTGACGATTTGTACATTTGTGAATTTTTATTGCACATATTTAAAACAAGAAATATTTGTGTGTGCATCACAAATATGTTTACAAATCTTATTTTCATATGTGAATTTTTTTTTTACTTACATTTTTATGTGTGCATTGAAAATGCATTTGTGTATCGAGTCATATATGAATACAACTCCTCAAATACATTTGGGAGTCCTTTTTCCTGCATTTGTTCATTTCTGTGTGCATTTATCCATTATGAGACTGTTCTGGCTCCATACGCCAATTCATAACAGAAGTTGTCTCAGGACACTTTTCAAATAGAGCAGGTCTACACCTAAAATAAATTTACTTTTCGTGTATGTTCAAGGGGGCAAATATGCAGTCGAAGTGCTGAAAAATAATAAGAAACACAGCAAAAACAATAGGATTTGAATAAGATTTTATATTTTATAGACTAAGCATTTAATAAAAGAATTAAAAAAAAGATTAAGCTATATGAACATTTTTGTTAGTTTCAGACCTCTGTAGTGCTACAATGGTTGTGTTGCCTTTAAAATGTTTTTAAAAGTTTGTATTTCTGATGATGTTTGATGAATATAAAAAAATAGTCTTTACAATCTGTACAACTATATATATATATATATATATATATATATATATATATATATATAATACTGCACAAAAACACCCAAATTGATACCTAAGTTATAGATTGATTGACAGGTGAAATGCATTAATATTACTAAAACTGGTTAGTTCATGCTTAGATAAGAATATGATCGGATTTCGATATAAAAATACAAAAACAATGACTTTTTGTAAATGTTTTAGTCTACATTGTTAAACAGAGGTACAATATGACCGAAGAACAGTTAAAAAAGTTATTTTTCATCTCACCTGGAAATTAACTCCGCTTTTGTTTTTATAACTGTAGAAACCTTAAAAACATTTGGTATGTTATTTTCAATAAATACAAACTAGAAATAACTAGAAATAAAAAAAAAAAAAAATTCTCACCTGCAAACTAAGCGCACCGGCCGCCATTATGGCTCCGAGTTGTACACGAGTACAGTGAAAGGGCGATCCTGGTCCGAGCCAAAATGGCGCCTTTGCCCGCCCCCTTTAAAAAACAAACCAATCAAATTCACGGAATTTCCCCCCATCCAATCAAAATCCACCTGGAGGGCGGGACCTCGGGGGAACCGGGAGGAGCTGAGTGGGGCTGTTGTGAATTCGCACAGCCAAGAAATCTCCAGTGGGAGTTGTCGGACCGATTTGTTGTGAATTTTGTCCGTCGTTTCTCACCGACTACCGACGCAGCCCATCCGCAGCCATGCCCGGGATAGAGAAGCTGCCGATAGAGGAAACCCTGGAGGACAGTCCGCAGGTAACCGCTCTCCTCCCCGCTCGGCAGGCTAACGTTAGCTCCCCCTTTGCGCTGCTAGGCTAACTGTCTTTGTAGGCTCAGTGTTTGCCAACAACCAGAGAGAGAGACAGACAGAGAGACAGACAGACAGACAGAGAGAGAGACAGACAGACAGAGAGAGAGACAAGTGCTAACGGCCCCTGGCTAACCAATATTATAAGCAGCTGTGCTTTGGGATCAAAATGTGACGGCTACACCGACCAGCTGGTTTGGGGGAGTTCACCGTCAACGTGCAGGTGAAAGTGTCAACCAACCAGAGACAGACAGACAGACAGACAGAGAGACAGACAGACAGACAGACAAGAGAGAGAGACACCGACAGCACAGACATGAACCCGTTACACGGACAGTTATCCGGATACTTCCCTAGCCCGTAGCTTCGTCCAGGAGAGTAACTGTGTGTCCAAACATTAGAGTCATCCTGCTGCTTTATGGGAGTGTCACACAGGGCTTCATTAGAGTTGGACCCCCCCCCCAACCCCTCTGAAATCAGTGGTGTGTCCTGCAGCAAATCCAGGGGCACAAACACCTGCTGTGACGTCACTGATCGGGGTGTGTCCAGAGTGAGATAACACCTGGATGTTGAGATTAGTTCATTTGTATGCAGATCAGGGGCCTGTATCATGAGGCATGTTGCACTTTTGCAATAATCTATTTTGTCCTGGAAATAATAGTTATTGTGTTTTAGACCCTCGCTCAAATCAAATGTAAACCTGGGTTGGAGGAACGCTGCAGATAAATGATGACCACCTACTTCTAATGTACTTGAGACGGTTAATTATGGAAAAACTGGGGGAAATTAGTAAGTAATAGATCTTCCTGTCATTTATTTTCACTGTTTTGTTAAGAAAACTCCTGGAAATGTTTTCTTAAATCGAGCGGGAACCCTGCTTTTAGTCTCTCTCTGCGTTACCTGGCCTCACTGAACCTAAAGAAAGGGTTATGAAAGGTGAAAAGTGATGTAATTTGACATGATACAGTGAGACCTGTAGGGACATTCGGTCATTGTGGCAGCGTAATGTGATGCACAACAAGAATGTGGGGTAAAATATACTGATCTGTCTTTGTGTTTCGGGCCCCAGGGCTGTGAAACCACTGTAATACAAATACTGGTGCCACCCGTCTACACTGGCAGGATCATACCAACCACCCAGCCTTTGGAAATACACCAGAATTCAGTCACTCGCAGGCTTTTTTCTGGGGAGATTATTGTGGCGTAAAATGGCTGATCTTACTGATTTTACAGTTTTCTTAAACAACTAGAAACAAGGAGGTGAGTTTGAGGATTTATGCTGCAGGAAACTACAACGATTGGTCAAATTTGTGAAAAAGTTGCAATGAAAACTTCAAGGTGGCTCAGAATTTACAGGTTTTGGTTGGATTTGTGTTAATTGTTGCCACTCCAATTTAGTTAGTCTCCCACAACGACAGGGTGAGGTGAGAATGACAATAACACATGAGCTGTCTGGCTACTTCTGATGAGACACACCTTGAGTACAGAACAGCACTGTGTGGATTTACATAGATAGGTGTGGGTGTGGGTTGTGGCTGTTAGTTACACAAGGGATCAGTCGGGGCCATAACGCGGCGAAGGTTTTATGGATCGGTCAAATGATTACAACGCTGACTTCACTTCTCACCTGTTTTGTGTTTTGTACGTAGACGCGCTCTCTGCTGGGGGTGTTTGAGGAGGACACTGCAGCCATCTCCAACTACTGCACACAGCTGTATCAGGCCATGCAGAGGATTTATGATGCACAGGTACTCACTCACACATGAGATTGAGGCAGAACTTAGTAAGTGGCAGCTGATTTGGAAAGTGTTTCTCCAGCTGCTCAGTGCCGTCTGCTGTTTTTCTCTTTAAGAACGAGCTGAGTGCTGCGACACACCTGACCTCCAGACTGCTGAAAGAGTACGACAAACAGGTAGACCAAGTGATACCAGACACCAACATCGTGACACCACAGACATTAGTCACAGGCCATATAACATTAACCACAGTTTTATTCCACCATCACCCAGCCTTATCGCACTGTTTTATTATATATTATTTCATACAGCCGTATGATACGAACCACAGCCCAGTTCAGAATCAGAAATACTTTATTAATCCCTCCGGGGAGGAATTGGGTTACGTTACAGTTTCTAAAGTTCCTAAACAAAGAGGAATTGTAAGAAAATAACAAAATAAGAAAAAAGAAGTATGTGAAAATATGTGCGTTATACGACGCATAACAACAATAGATGTAGAAAAAAAGAAAATAAGACATGTTCAAATATGTATTCTACAATATATATTATTATTGCACAATAAACTGTCTTATAACATTAGTCGTTAGCCTTATAACACTATCCCCCAACTTTGTAATCAGCCATCAGTTACACCAGCTTTAATCCTTATAACACTAATCAACCTTAAAACAGAAGCCATGAACATTAAAGCTCAACATGTTCGCTATCATCAGTCTTAAGAAGCTACATTAGCTCCGGGTTTATACACTAGATCCAACACTTTGGTCTAAAATAAGATCTTTGTGATCATTTTGATGACCCCTGACATTTCCTCTAGTTAACATTTGACCGATATTAGATTTGTGACGAGGTGTCCGGTGCTGCAGTGATATATTTCCCTCACAGGATTCAGTCTAATCCTTCATGTTGTTGCTGTTGTCTGCAGCGTTTTCCACTAGGGGGCGACGATGAGGTGATGAGCTCCACCCTACAGCAGTTTGCAAAAGTCATTGATGAGGTAAGAGAATAGAAACACACCAGAGCTCAGTCTGCTGCCGTCAGAGGCGAGTTTGTTTTATCCTTCTGGATGTCCCACGTGGTCAGATTTCACCATCACAATCGATTTACTATTAATATCTGTTTGAAGGAGAATAAGAAACACTGGTTGTCTTTTAAAGTCGCACTGTGGTCGTTCTGCTGATTCATGGATATAATATTCCCTGACTTCCTCTCTCGCTCTCTCTTTCCAGCTGAGTTCCTGTCACGCTGTCTTGTCCACCCAGCTTGCAGATGCCATGATGTTTCCCATCACTCAGTTTAAAGAGAGAGACCTGAAGGGTAGGAAACACACACACAGATACAGAGTACACAAAAACAAAACAACAAGGACACATACTGCCACTGGTGTTGGTAGATAAGGTCTGGCTCTGGCTTTGTGCACAGGACCATTGTCAGGTTGTAAAACAGGAAAGGTCTTCCACAAACTGATTGTTCCCACAAATAAGATCCTTTTCACACAAAGTCAGGATGCTGCTATTGTGGATGTTGGCTCACTGGAAAGGCTCTGATACACTAAATGGTAAACAACACTAATTAGTATCAATGGTAACACCTGTGATTGCCCTACTATTTAATGTAAAAAAAGGCCTGTTGTTAGCACACGGTGTAAAAGAGGCCCAAACTGGATATAAGTACATAAACACAGACAGCATAAATATTCCCTAACAGATCTTTTTGTTTCTCTCCAGAGATCCTCACTCTGAAAGAAGTCTTCCAAATAGCCAGTGATGGTAAGTTCGTGCTGCTACTTATTAATATTCTGCATCAATTTATTTTTTATTTTTTATTTTTGATGCATACATCACAAGTTCCTCCCATGAGCCCCCGACTGTGTCATCTTCCAGTTGACTGCTCCTAAGCCCCACCCACCCGCAGCTACTGTTGCTATGTTACATATATATATGTATATATATATATATATATATATATATGATTTCACTTCTGCTGATTAGCATCCACTTATCACTTTACTGAATCCATATCAGTCATATAATGGGGGTTGAAGCTGTGGTGCACATATTAAAAAAATGTCCAACTGACATCCGCTTGCAGCCCAGGCAGAGTCAGTTGAGTACATTGAATTAAGTAATCTAAGTAGCTTCTTGTCTTAACGTCTTAACAACTTGTCTCTTCCTGTCTGAGCAGGCAAATTGTTTAACGTATTTGTGTGTGTGTGGAGGACAATCTGTCCTAATGTGAATGAAGAAAAGACAGAGACTTGGTCAGAGTCACTTTTCTCTCACAAGATTCACATTTGTTATAGTTACGCCTAAAGGAAGATTCCGCCTTGTTTTGAACATTTACTAGTATTTTTGTCTTAATTTGAGTTACTGTTTTATTTCCCTTTCGAACCTGTGTTACTGTTGAAACACAGAAAAGATAAAGAAAACATATTTTATGACCAAAGATTCAACCTGTGTGGCTGTTTCTGTCTGCAGATCACGACACAGCCATCAACAGATACAGCCGCCTCTCCAAAAGGAGAGACAACGACAAGGTAAACACATCAGCGACAGAAACACTGCTCATATCGGGTTCATCATTCAGTACTTCAGCACTGAAATGTAATTGGTTGTGTTGAATTTATAAGTTATTGATTTCTAGAGGAAATTCATTGAAAGAACTGCTCCATATAAACCAAATTAAAGTATCCAGTATTCAGCTGACCTGCTGTGAACTGACACAAAGAGGCTTTAGTTTATGCTTCCAGTTCATTTTAGTTGAATAACTGAAGGTGTAACAACTGAGCACTGTCTCTACTCTTTCTATAATTTGTACCAAATGACATTAAAAACTTCTGCAGAAAGTATTAGAAAGTATTTCTATAAAATATAAACTTGCAGAGTTACAGTAAATTATTGTTGTGTGGAGATGCAGCTGCCAGTGTCAGTGAAGTAAACTCATATATTTCTGCAGCAAGGTTCAAGTTTCTGCAGGTTAATTTTCATAAAAATGCACTCCAGCTGCAATTATCAATACAATTATCTTGACCAAAAGTTATATGTGAAGTAATATGATGATACCGTGATACTGAAATAAGTTTTGTGGGTTACAGTTGCGGGCGGAGGCTGTGGAGGACGTCTACACCTCCCGCAAGAAACAGCACCAGACCATGATGCACTACTTCTGCTCACTCAACACACTACAGTACAAGAAGAAGACTGCTCTGCTGGAGCCACTGCTGGGCTACATGCAGGCTCAGGTACACACACAGCAAACTGACTTAAAAATAAGAATTAACCACCGCACACTGGAGCGACTTCACTGTGATTTATTAGGAGCGAACAACACGTTTCACCTGTAGCTTCCTCAGGTTCACTGAGCACTCACAGGTGTGACAAATAGGCTGCATCTGGGTCACATGATCAGCTGTCACAGTCTTAATTTTTTCCCTTTTTATTTTTTCAAGGGTTTTTGCAAAGGTGAAAGTATATAAAAAAAAACATAATATTACACAAAAATCCACAATACAAAAGACCTAGCATGATAAATATAAAACACAGTTACATAAATAAGAAAACTGATATCCATATCCAGCTGACTGAATAGGAAATGCTCAATACCTTAAGACAGATATCCTGTAGGTCCTTTCACTGCCCGTCTACACAACCAAATGGAAAGACCAGTGAACCTGAGGAAGCTACAGGTGAAACACGTTGTTCGCTCCTAATAAATCACAGGAAAGTAATTCCAGTGTTCAAGCAGCATTTTGAGCCAAAGCTGCTTTTTTTTTTTTGCTGCATTTCGCTGCAGATGATGTTTATTATGTGTTTTTAACTATTTTTATTCTTCTGTCAACATTGTAGCGCTGCAATCTGCCAGCCTTTTGTACAATGTGACACAGATTGCAACCGCAATAAACCCATAAGATAGCTGTGTGTAAGGGGCCTTAGGAGTGGATGTCATTAATTAGGATCATCTATTGAGTTTGTCCCTGAGTTACTGGTCCCATTCAGTTTAACTTTTTATAATATATGTGAGCTCTTCGTGTGTATCAGTGCTACAGCAACGGAGAGAAACATGAGACTGCTGTGACATTGAAGTGGAGCAGCCAGTGAATGTTAGATTGAACCAGAGTCTGAAGTTTTAGCTGGTTTAACTGGTTCAGAGCTGTTACCAAACCTGCTGATGTGTGTTTATCTTTGTCTGTGTTTATTCTGTGTAGATCAGTTTCTTTAAACTGGGTTCAGAAAATCTCACCCAGCAGTGGGAGGAGTTCCTGGGAACCATAGGAACCAGTGTCCAGAAGTAAGATCCCTACTTTCACCAACAAGTGTCCTAAATCTTGTTCTTATATTGTTCTTAAATCCTTTTAAAGCTCTTAAATACTTTACTTACTTTACCTAAGACCAGATCAGCAGTTTATTGTGTGTGTGTGTGTGTGTGTGTGTGTGTTGTGTGTGTGTGTGTGTGTGTGTGTGTGTGTGTGTGTGTGTGTGTGTGTGTGTTTGCAGTGTACGTCGGGAGATGGAGGAGGAGGTTGGACAGATGCAGCAAAGCATCCAGGAGATGGAGAGATCATGTGACCCGCTGTACGCACCCTGTGACCCCGACCCCGCCCACTCACCTGTCTGCCGCAACCTGACCAGGAAACAGGGATACCTGTACATCCGCAAGTAGGACACACATTATATTTTGATACTTTTATTAAACAGGACTCAAGTTGAAATAAAATGTAATTCCCCTTTTTATAAATACCAAATCTTAATTGTGAGGTATATTCTTCTTTTTTAAAGCACTTTCTAAATACTGTTCTGAAAAAGGTTATATAAAGTTTAATTACCACAACTCCTTTCCAAAGTCATTTTCTGTTGTGTTCGGACTGTTGTTATAATATTATATAGTTATAATAATTGTATCTGGTTGAAAGTAAGTCTGAAATGATGATCTTGTTGTCGTCTCTTCTGTGTGTCTCTCAGTAAGACGGGGCTGGTGTCGTCGTCCTGGGAGCGCCAGTACTTCTTCACGCAGGGCGGTAATCTGATGCAGCAGGGCAGAGGCGAGGTGGCAGGCGGGCTGGTCACGGACCTCGACAACTGCTCCGTCATGGCCGTCGACTGTGACGACCGGCGCTTCTGCTTCCAGGTCACTTCCTTCGATGGCAAGAAGTGAGAGGGCTCCTGCTTTTTACAACTCTTCTCTCCATTTTTAAGTTTTCAGACTTGGAGTAAATGTGTAAATGCTGCTTGTAAAACTTTGATTAAACTGTTTTCTGGTTTCTGTCAGAGTGGTGACGCTGCAGTCAGAGAGCAGGAAGGACTGCGAAGAGGTAAGCAGTTTCTCTGTCTCATGACCTGCTCTGTATTGACTGTCAACTGTCCTGTTGTCTCCTCACACTGTCTTCTCTGCTGCTTTCTCCACCAGTGGATTTCCACCATCAACAACATCTCTAAAAGGATCTACCTGAGTGAGAACGCAGAGGTCTGTGTCCTACTTTCCTCATTAACCTTTATTGACCTGGTCACATAGTGGACATTTCTTTAGGTGTAGTCCAGCCTGGTTTCAGACCTCTGATCTGTCCACTGATTCAAATCTGTCTGCTGTTGTGCTCATTGATGTTTCCCCCCAGTTAGAAGACACAGTCGACCACTCAGAGCAAACCAAACATTCACGTTTATGAGGACCTCATATTGCCTGGCACTTCCACAGCCACCGCAGATCCACTATTAATATTAATCAAAGTTTGTGAGACTATTGTGGAAAAAGAGTCTGTGTGGCAGTCCCTAACACTGTAAAGCTGCACTTGCAAAAAATAGGGAAAGATAAAAGACCACTGTTTATCAGAGAGTTGACAGGAAGTTAGGAGAACAACATGCAACAAAGGTTACCAGCTAGACTTGAGTTGTATCATAGTCGACACCTTAACAGCAGATTAATGCCCTTTGTTTTGGAATGACACATTCATTGGTGACATGCGGCTAGAACGTTTGAGTGTCCACATACTTTTGGCCATGTTGTGTATCCTAATCCAATACCAATGAATACATACAGTATGAAATAAGAGCAGACTGTGCTGACTGTACTGTCATCCTATTGCAGGAGCTGGCTGCCAGAGTGAACCAGTCAGCTCTTGAAGCCGTGACACCGTCCCCGTCCTTCCAGCAGAGACACGAGAGCATGAGACCCAGCAGGTGTGTGTGTGTGTGTGTGTGTGTGTGTGTGTGTGTGTGTGTGTGTGTGTGTGTGTGTGTGTGTGTGTGTGTGTGTGTGTGTGTGTCAGTGAGTCCTATCACGCTGGTGTGATTGACAACCAGCTGCCAGATATCATGAAGTTGGACATGAAGTTGTGGCCAATCAGATTTTAGTGGGAAAACTGGATGAGTCAGACCTCTATCAGTAAGACCATCAATCTCTCTCTCTCTCTCTCTCTCTCTCTCTCTCTCTCTTTCTCTCCATTCCAGTAAAGGGCGTGTGGGCAGAGCGAGCAGTATTAGCTCTGTGGGCTCAGAACCATCACCTGCCCTTTCTGTGCTCTCATTGGATGCACTGGTTGCCCCGGACACACCCATCCAGTTTGACATCATTTCCCCCGTCAGCGAGGAAAACTCAGGACAGAGCAAGACGGCAGCACAGTCCGGCAGGTAGGTGTGTGTGTGTGTGTGTGTGTGTGTGTGTGTGTGTGTGTGTGTGTGTGTGTGTGTGTGTGTGTGTGTGTGTGTGTGATAGATGCTTCAGTTAGCATTTTGAGCTCTGGTACGATCACTGACTGGTTGCTAAAACTACCTCATGTCTGTTTCCTCTTCAGCATTGATTGTAAAGGGTCAGTTCACCCAAATTAGGAAAAGAAGCATCTTTTCTGTCTCTCTCTTCTAGCAGTTTATCTCCAACAGGTAGATTTGGGGTTTTTTTTGTCGAGGTTTTGAGATATCTGTCACTGAGATGTTTGTCTCCACCCCAATGTAATGGAAGTGAATGAAATTTAGTGAAATGAAAATTAACGTGAGACTCACAGCTTTGAAAAATCATACTTTAAAAATTCAGCAACATAATTTTCCTGAAACAGAGGCTGTACCCTGAAATTGCTCCCTTTTTATGTTTATAATGCACTATATTTACTGGCCACCACTTTATTTAGGAGTGTGTAAATCTATCTGTTATATAGTGACTTTAACAATGATGACTGCAAATTATGATGATTACCAGGTGTCCCAAATCTCTATTTACAGACACAGTCAGAGTTACTCTGGATGATCCACAGAACAAACTGTGGACAGTTTAAATGAAACTACTGCTACCAAAGACTAATGAAGTCATTTGTGATAAATTTTGCCTGATTTCATCAGCACCTGATCGATCAAAGTATCTCTGATTGTTTTTTTTTTGTGTGTGTGAGACTCTGATATGGAGGAGAAAGCGTGTGTCCTGTGTGGTATTGTAGCAGCTGCTGTTCGTGTTTAATATACTTGTGTGTGTGTGTGTGTGTGTGTGTGTGTGTGTGTGTGTGTGTGTGTGTGTGTGTGTGTGTCCACAGAAGAAGTAATCCATTTGGAGAGTCAGGAGACAGCACATCAGAAGACAGTGAAGGTACTGTCTGTCTGTCTGTCTGTCTGTCTGTCTGTCTGGTTTTGTTTTCCTCATGTTACCAATATTTTTATATTATTATAATTTTTCATGGTTTCTGTTGCAGTGACGCATCCTGTTTTCACTGTTTTGGTTAATGAAAACATCCAAGTAAGTTATCGAGTGCGGTGTCTTCTTTGCCGTCCCCCTTGTGGATGGAGGGCAGAAAGCATCCACTGTAACTGCAGATGACAGTTGCTGTGGGTGTTTTTCAGCTGCAGGGGGCAGCACTGAGACCATTTCACACTCTACAACATACTTGGACAAGCTTTACAAAGATGAGAATTATGGTTTGTTAGAAGTGTTTCATGGTTAAGAATTGATCGTTTTCTTCCCACTTCGGATACAGTGCAGCTCTTTCCTGAACTTTTCAATGTGAATAATCTGTGTGTGTCTCCCACAACCATCCCAAACTGGACTAATGTACATTGTAAAGCTGCATGTGTGTGTTTAAAGGTACCAGACACTTCCCATGCAGACGGATATATAGTGATGGCTTCTTTTATTTATTTTTTTGCCTTTGTGTCTGTTGTCCAGACTCGATCCTCCACCAGCTCTTTATCGTTCGCTTCCTGGGCTCCATGGAGGTGAGGGCTGCCGAGTCAGCAGACGTCATCTCTGAGACCATGAGGCAGATCCTGGCGGCCCGAGCCATCCACAACATCTTCAGGATGACCGAATCACACCTGCTGGTCACCTGTGACTGCCTCAAGTATGAACCACAGCTCCACGCTCCCCAACCAGTAGATGGGTTTAAATCAGCATCAGAAATAACTCACAGTATCAAACAAACATGCAGCCCAAAGTGCTTCACAGAGCAAGATTAAAACATAAAAGTAAGACTAAAATAGACAACAGTGACTAGAATCATAAAAAAAAAGTATGAAAACTAACAATCGAGTCTTAAAAACTGAAATATTCTTACAGTATCTGTTGCTTTATACTTTATGAAAATCTCTTTCAGTTCATTAAATCTCTGCAGCAGGACAGAAATGTTGATAAATCTGCAGCCTCTGATGATGCACAGCTACTCACTGTGTTTACCTTCATTAAATCACATGCAAATGACACCAGGCTGCTACAAAACAACCGCACACGTTAGACAGGTCCGTTATGACTCTGTTTTCTGACACCAGATTACCTTTGCAACTTCCAACAACCTTCATAATCGCCGCTGTGTCACATTTTAAAATTGGACGTAACCACTTACAACAGGAAATACAGCAGAATTATGAGAGAGAATATTAATAATTAATGTTTCTCAGTTTGCCATTTTGGAAACATTTCTTTCTATGCAGGAAAAATCTTTTGATATCGATTTTATTTTTCCTTTCAGGCTCATTGATCCTCAGACACAAGTCACTCGACTCAGGGTAAGATGATTTCTCTCGGCCTCTGCGTAGACGGTTCTAGTCGTCTAGTCGCAGACATGTTTCTAATGATTTATCATCTCTTTCCTTCCCTTCTGCTCTCCTGTAGTTCCCTCTGTCCAGTGTGGTTCAGTGTTCATCCCATCAGGACAACAAGAGGCTGTTTGGTTTCGTTTTGCAGTCGGCAAGCGAGCGGGGAGACAGCCGAGCCGTCTGCTACATCTTCGAGTCCAACAACGACGGAGAGAAGGTGGTCTGTGTGTTCATCTGTCAGTCCCACTGTCTCACACTCGGTCTGCTCCGTCTGACCTGTTTGTCTTCTCCCTCTGTTTCAGATCTGTGACAGCATCGGTCTGGCCAAGCAGATAGCCTTCCACTCCGAGATGGTGAGACCGATTTGAAACTTCATAGTACTGAAGCTGATGCTAAACGCTAACTGACGGCGGTTTTGGTTCCCTTCGGGTGTTGTCGTTCGAGCTGAACTGTTTTTGTCGTCTTGTTTTTGTTGTGTAGGACCGGAAGGCGGTGGAGAAGAGGAAGGAGCAGGACAAGGCCAAAGAGAAACAGCAGGAAGAACTCAGCAAACAGAGACAGATAGAGAAGGTGACCTTTAACCTTACGTATTATAAACACATTTGTTTACTGGTACTCTTAATCAGTCTGTTTTACATATATTCACAGATTTAAGGGTCTGTTGTTGAAGAGCTGTTGTAAAGTTCACTGTGGTCGGCTCTGGCCGCCGCTATCTCGACAGTCCTGACTCCACCGGCTCCCGGCTAATTAAAAAAGGCAAAGGCGTGGAGCTGAATGACGCCTGGTTACTGAACCAAACACTGACCGGTCACACAAAGCAGCCATGCTCTTAATTATAAATAACTTAAACCAGTGACTTATATAAAAATCCTCCCCCTGTACAGTTCTAGAGATCAAAACAGTTTTGTACCAGGCTGTAAACATGTTTATTTCTGCTGTAAATGTGGGCATTTTAATATGAGGCCTTATGGAGATCAACTCACTTCTGGAGCCAGCCTCAAGTGGCCGTTTGAGGAACTGCACTTCGGTGCTTCATTTGCCAACCACTGAGGCTGCTGCTCGCCTACATCCCAGGGACATTGTATTATGTCCTAATACATGTTAATACATCTTTAACCTGTGTGTTCCCTCATTTTGCCTCTAGGACCTGGAGGAGCAGAGCCGTTTGATCGCCGCCTCGAGTCGCCCCGCTAACCCGCCCGGCTCTGACGGACAATTCCTAGTGCTTAGCAACAGCCAATCGGAGGACAGCGACGCCGGGGAGGAGGGGAAGAAGAGGGGCGAGTCTGAAGCCTAACAAAGCTGATGGAGGATGCATGTTTTTACCACCCAGGCAAGTCTCAGCCGGTACTGTCAAAGCAACAGCGTGAGAATTAGAGGAGGGGAACAACACCCACCCGTCTAGGTTGTTTGGGACTGAAAAACATGCGCTCCCTCCCTGCTGGACTCTGTTTGAAGTTTTGTTGTGAAGCCTGTCGCTCTGAAAACGGAGGATAAACTAAACGCACCCTCACTATAAGAGGAGGAGGCGAGCAGGCGTGGAAACGTCTCGGCACAGACTTGAGTTTTATTCTGTGTGTAAAAAAAAAAAAAAAAACGCTGCTTTTTATACCGGCTCCACAGATTTAGATTAACCTGTAAGTTTCTGTTTTTTTATGTTTATTTTATAAAAAAAAAAAAAAAAAGAAGAGCTAACAGCAATGACAGAGGATTTAAAGCAAAGCATGTCCAGAATAATGAAACAGATCTGAAGGAGACAAGAGGAGAAGTTGACCACTAGGAGATCCTGAAGAGCAGCGGGACACCTCAGTGTGGTTGGGAGAGAAAAAGTGTGAGACACAATATTTTAAAACAAAAGAGAGGGAGAGAGCATAGAGTCTTATTTTGAAGAGTTCTTCCTGTTGTGATGTGTTCATCGACTGTCCGTTTTTCAAAGCATCCTGCAACCTTTTTTTTTTTTTATCTTTATCTTTATCCTTCCTCACAAGTAGTCGCTGGTTTTCACTCATTTCACTGCAGAATGAAAATCCACTCGCAAAGTCTTAAAAACTCAGCGATCAGTCGATCAATTGATTAGTCGATGGTCAAAAGAATTCCTGTTCGATTAATCATCGTATAGGTTGTTTTAAATTAAATTGGCAAATGTGTCTCTATTTGTCTATTAATTGAAAATACGATCAGCGGATCAACAGAATATAAAAATAATTGTTGGTTGCAGCCCTATTGATGTCATTATTGGCTGATTTATTGATGAGACTGATCGGAAAAGTCTTGCGTTGTCTCATCAGAACTCAAGCAAAGTCTCTGCGAGCTGATTTTCATAGTTTACAAAGATGAACTGAAAGCAGCGGCTGCGTGGATTCAGAGCTCTACATCGTGTGGTCACGCGTCCTCCGATTAACTGGGAGAATATCTTTGTTGTCAAAAACCTCTCGTATTACTACCTGGTCAGGTTGGGGAAATGTTTTTTATCAGACTTATTGACGATATACTGTTGGCGGTAACTGTTGCCACGGATACTGTAAACACAGTTATCTGCTGTTTTAAAATACTTACGTTTTTCTTTTATCGAAGTAGCTATGAATGAAGTAATTAACATAATGACTTCGAATGAACTCTCAATTACTCAATTATTTCAAAATTATGTTTTAAAAACAATGCTGATTTGTAAAATTGGGATTTAAACTACAAATGTTATAATGCAGGGACTCTGTAAAGCCCAAATCAAGTCACTCATCCACACAAAAACATGTTTTCCCCCATAGTATCTCATATGAAAAGGAGGAGCCCCAATAATAAAACATTACAGATATTATATTACAGTTTGTTCCAATAAAAGAAAAACATAGATTAAAATCCTAAATTGTGGTGGGATGTGGAAAAAAAATCTTTTAATGCCAATATTAACTTTTTTAAGTTCCACAATAACTTAGTTTTTCTGTATTTGTTGACGTAATTGTAGAAAAACAGCCAACATATCATTAATGCCAGTCTGTATGCAGTGTGCGTTCGTGTGTCGTGTCAAGACCAAAACCACCGCCACAGGAGACCCTAAAGGTTTCATTTGAAGATTGTAATTCCAAAATAAGACGTCTGCAACTTCCGCCTCTTACTAAACGAACAGTTAACGCTCTCCCTTCTCGGTCCGTCTGGGATGTGAAACACTGGTCTGACATTCGGGAATATCGGAGGTCCGTCAACACGAGCACAAATCTGATCCAACGATCTCAGTTTTACCACATTTGTTTAAAAACGAATATAAAAAAAAGCTCTAATAAGGTACATTTTATTAATTCAGTAAACTCTGAAGACATTTAACATGTGTAACGTCTTGATGCATGTTTCATAAAAACAGACTCCAAATACTCAGCTGAGTGTCAGAATATTTATCTGCTTTCACAAACGTTTAGCTGAATCGTTGTTTTGGGGGCTTTTTTTTTTCACAGGTTTTTATTCATTAATCCGCCTTCATCCATTCATTCACAGTGATTATCTGTAGGACAACATCTGAATAAGCTTCAGTTACAACATCATGGACATTAAATGTAGGGATGTTAAAGGTCAGAGGTCACAGCAGCCTGACAACAAACAAACCTCTTCAGTCGGGCTGCGAAGATGTTTCTGAAAAGCCTAAAATCAACAGTTACTGATTTTATTTTTCTTTGGGAGGATGTTTTCTCGCTGTAACCAGGTGAAGGAGCTGCACTTTACTGACGCAGGAGAACACGACGGGGATCGATGATGTTGAACTGTAAATATGTTTCAGTGATAATTGTTTCAGTGTCATGAATAATAATTAAAAAAAAGGCTTTTCAGTGATAAATAAAAGCACTAACTCCACCCGCCTGAGTCAGGATGCTCATGTTTTCAGATCAAACAAACCTCAACGAGAAAGTGGATTTTTTTTTTTTACATTTATTTTAATTATTAGTAGAAAAACAACCTCACATTGTCTCTATGATGAGTTTTTGAAAATATACAGAAAATAATTGATTTTATTTCAATCATATTTTATACAAGTATTTAACAAATGTATAAAATTAAACTACAGACAAGGAGGAATCACAATAATATATTATTTTTTTCCAATTAACTTTACACATAGTGCCTTTTTAACATGTTTTTTTTTTGTGAAATTGACAATTTTGTTTTAAGAATATGATATTTGACAAAGATTTGAACTTGATGTGAACTACAAGAGAGTTTGTGTAATATCTTATGTCATCCTCCATTGCTTTTATAATTTCTCAACTCATCCCTTACAGTTACATTACGGTTTATTTTAATCTGTTTCAACAATCATCCGTTATTTGTAGCAGTTTCAGCAGATTATTCAGCGTGCGAGGCAGCAGAGTTAGTTTATCTACTTCACAATGTGTCCGTGTATCACCCAGCTAAGGCAGAGCTCATACAGGTCGGTCTGTATTTAAAATAAAACACACAAACTGTCCAACGTGACGACTTTATTCTGCCCTAAAATAAATATGAACAAAATGTATTGAATATATAAAAATAGACATTTTCATAAAGACTGAAAAAAATGGCCATAATGTTAGTTTAAGTGTAAAATCACCAATGACAGAGGACAGATAAACTGAGTGTTATAACATCTGTGGTAAAATAATAAGAGAATATTAGACATACATACATACATAGAAATAATCCATCTGATTGTCAGAAACCGGTTCCCGACATGTGCGTCTGTGGATACTTGTTACACAAATAAATTAGATTTTTGATCAGACATTTGGCTTCAGTGTCACTTTATACATCAATAAATAATAAATCAATTAAGATCTGGAGGAATTCTGAGCAGATTATTTAAATATTACATCAGAGGTGAGTTTTTTTGATGGTTTTAGGAACCTTTCATACAATTATATGTCTGTATTTGTTTTACAATCATTCATTCATTCTAACATTTAGTTTTATTCACAGAATGAGACGAGATGCAGAGATACAGGCCTACAGTGTGCATATTTCCTTACACACCTTAAAATCAAGAAGGCCTCGCGACCCCCCCGGTGAAACTTTAGCCGACCCCTAGTGGGGATCCCGGCCCCCAGGTTGATCCACTGCTTTAAAGGGAGTTAATATTAAACTGTAAAGTGCAGGAGGAAGTAATGATGTACAGGGTTTTCTATGCGCCATGCACACAGCAGTAAAATAACGTATTCATACAAAAAGGATCCTTCGTGCTTCTCCTTGATTCACTGGTTCAATTCAGCTCGGCTCGGCTTGGTTCGGCTCGGCTCGCAGCAGACTGCCTGACAGAACCCCGGAGCGTCACATCGCCATCTACTGTTTCAGGATCTGGTCGGAGAGCCAGTCCAGACCCTCGACCAGACCTGAACCGCTGACGGCACAGGAGGACTGGACAAACCACTGCACAGACACACAGAGGGACAAAGACGTCAGCTTTGCTTCAGACTGAAATAAATTTAATCTCTGAGTGTGCGAACAGATGTTGTGAGACTGATACCGAGTTTAGAGGAGAAAAAATAACAGATATGGCAGCTGATGAGTACATTCTTGAGCTGGAATGAAAATAGAGTTTTTCTATGTGGATTGTGCACCGATAGGACTTATGAAAGGTACTCATGAGACTGCTTTCTGAAACAAATGACAGGTGTAGTGTCACACAATGGTAATGTTGTGTTCACGCCTACCGGCTGAGAGACTCCTGATAGGCTCAGGGCCTCTGTGATGTCACCGACGGACATGGCTCTGGGCAAATCTTGTTTGTTAGCGAATACCAGTAAGGCCACGCCCCTCAGCTCGTCTTCCTCCAGCTGCAACACACAAACACTAACTGTGAGTTCACACTTGTCTCGGACTCGGCCATTGGTCTCTAAAATATTTTAGCAACTTCACCCTTTAAAGTCCACATGACACAGAAATGAGAGAGCTCTTTACTTCCACACATTTGTAAGTATTTCCTGTAAAAACAGGCACCCAGTGAGGGAAGAAGTGATCAGATTTCAACACAAAAATCCAATGAAATTGAGTTTTTGAATTTTTTTTGGCATACATTGTTAAACAGAGGTAGAATATAACTGAAGAGGCAATTTTAAAGGGTTACTATAACATTATAGAACGGGCACTGACATTGACGGCCAATCAGTTTCACTTGCAATCATATTCCTGGCTGCCAAAAACTGATCTCAGTGGGAATGGAAAATTAGATTAAAAAAAGTCTCTGTCTTGAGTACAGCGCTGATTACTTCTACAGTTGCTGCTTTAATCATCAGATGACCCTCAACTAATTAAAATAAAGATTTCTTGTCATGTCTCTGCACTTGAGGACATTTAGCAACCGGTCTGTGTGTGTGTGTGTGAGTGTGTGTGTGTGTGATCAGCTCTTTACCATCCTGTGCAGCTCGTCTGCAGATTCTTTAATCCTCTCGGGGTCGTTGCTGTCGACCACGAATATCAGACCCTGGAGACAGACAGACAGACAGACAGACAGACAGACAGTCAGACAGACGTTACTGTGAACTCGTGCTTCATAAGAATGATTTTTAGTCTTTCTGTTGTAACAGTACTGTAACAGTCGGAGTATTACCTGTGTGTTAGTGAAGTAATGTCTCCACAGAGGTCTGATGATAGTCTGACCACCGACATCCCAAACTGTAAAACTGATGTTCTTATACTCCACAGTCTCCACATTAAAACCTGCACACACACACACACACACACACACACACACACACACACACACACAGTTTTATTTTATTGATTTTGTGTTGTTTTATATCTCCGTTCAATATCTGCATTAATATAAACAGATGGAAATCGATCATTCACCGATAGTCGGGATGGTGGTGACGACCTCGGCCAGCTTCAGTCTGTACAGCAGAGTTGTTTTACCTGCTGCATCCAGACCCACTGCAGACACGCACACACACACACACACACAGTTAATGGGACTGTGTTCAGATCTTTTATTTAAGTAGAAGTAAAAGTAAACTGCAATTATATAGTATGTTAGTATGTTATAATCTTATTGTAGTAAGTAACGCGGAACCATCGTGTAATGGAGTAAAAAGTACAATATTTCCCTCTGAACTGGAGGAGAAGTTTAAAGTAGCATTAATGTGTATTTATGTAAATTAGTTATCAGTTATTGTATTTTACCCCACTGAGTCACTAAATCTTCACACTGAAGGTGATTTTCACTAAACTGATCATTAATTATTTGAAGTTTGACTAAGAGACTAATTGATTAATTGTTTACAGCTCCTATTATTATTGTTCTAACAGATGAAATAAAAATAAAACCTAACTTTAGAAAATAACAAAAACTAACAACAACGTTGTGTACTTAAAAAACTAACTAAAATAAAATAAAAAATATACAGGAAATGCAGTTGAAGTCGTTTGTGTGTAAGTCATGTGTTTGTATTGTACTATTTTGTAACAAACAACCTCCATATTATAAAAAAAAACTAACACTAAAACTAAAAACAAACATTTTCGAGCAATAAAACCTGAAACGAGCAAAATTCACCTTGAAACTAAACTGAAAACAAATGTTGAAAAGTGTAAATAAAAGCAAAAAACTAATGAAAAATACAAACAAAACTATAACAACTGCTTACAACGACAAGTCTACTATAAATAACCATAATAAAAACAATACAATACTACTAATACTAATAATAATAATAATACTAAGATTACTAATACTAATGATAATTAATACTAATAACATGATGTCACAATAAAGCCATTAAATCTCACCCATTAAAATCCGGACGGGTCTCTTGGAGGTGAACCTGGAGAACAGGTGAGAGATGATGACGCCCATTGTTCAGGTAGAAAGTGACAAACAGCTCGCGGTGTCTCTGTCGGTGTGAGTGTGTGTGCTTATATGTGTGTGTGTGTGTGTGTGTGTGTGTGTTCTCCACGGTGTCATCCCGGCTGCTGTCAGCCCGGTACACGGTGGCAGCCGAGTGTCAACACCGGAGAATACTTCCGCCCACGCAACCTTCAGAATAAAAGGCACACTTGTTTTTGTTTTTTTGGTTTGTTGTTGTTTTCTATCTCAAATTGAAGTTTGCTTTATTGACATGAACACAAACAAAGGTTAAAATACGGTCACATTATTTTTTTTTACTGGTATACAAATATTTGTCTCCCATTCAGTTCCACTGAAGGTCAGAGTTCAGATTTGCTCAGTCGGCCAATAAAAGTGTTTTTATTGTTTGTTTCTTCAACATTTTAGTACATTAACACACTACCAGACTTACACTTGTGTATCCATTGTGTCTGTATATTGTCATTTGAATTTACTTGCCACTGCTCCAATATATAATATATAGTAATAAATAATAAAATAAATAAATTTGTAAAATGCTGTAAATGCTGTATATACTGTGAAATTACATTAAAGACTGATAAAGACTGATATATTGGCAGTTTTGTAAACTCTGGTTTACATCTTCTTTATTTTTATTCATTAACGTGCTCTGTCCCTATCAAATATACAAAACTAATAAATAAAATAATTAAAAACGGTGGCATCTCATACACTGTTTATAGTTTGTGACGCCTCTGGTCATCTGAATTTTATAAAATAATAATATAATAAACATTATACATAACGCATACATGAGCTGTAGCTGAACTATGTGTAATAGCAACAGTCAGAATCATAAAAGAAGAGAGAGAATAATCCAAAAGAGGAGATGCTGCCTCCTTAGTTTCAGGTTTTCTTCAAGTAAATATTGAATTTAGTTTAGATTTGTTGAGTGTTGAGTTTTTGTTGTTTGAGTTTTATTTTGGTAGATACTTCCTGTGTTGCATTGTAGCAGGAAGTGTTGATGTCTCATCTTCTTGTTGCTGTTGGCAGAAATGACACAGTCTGTTTTCTCTACGTTGCCAGGTTTCTCTCAAAGGGATCGTCTTCACTCAGTCTGTGTTTAGTTTGTGTGTCTCTAAATTTCTGGTTGCTCACAGCGACCAAATAATCTGTAAATCTGCATCAACGTTTTTTAGATTGTTTACTGATTTATTTTATTTTATTTTTTCATTTATTTTTTATTCACTTCATTAACCTTCATTTATCCTGGAAGTCGCTTCAGATTTCAATCTCAGTACACCAGTTTCAATACAAACGAAACACAATCGACATGCTGCTTTATGAGACGCGTTAACCCTCATACCTCATCTTATTTATTTATTATTTATTGAACTAAATAAACTCCATCAAAAGGCAACAAACAAAAAGGCACAAGATGCATCTAACAGCTCCAGAAGACGCTTCATAGGAGAAACAAATATATTGTTGTTCTTACAGCTTCTTATATTTACATTAATGTGTGTTATACATTTATTAAGTGTCTTAAAAAAATGCCTCTTCAATAAGGTAAAAAGAAAAATAGGTTCAGGGTTTTAAAGAAAACAAACCAATAATAATAACAGGCCTGCAGGCTGCAGGTAATCGTGAGGCAAGGAGACTCTCACACAAAGACACTAAAGTCTGCCGTGGTTGTAATAATCAATCACTTTTAATAACAAACAAGAGAGACAGCAAAGAAATCTCAGTCGGTCCTAAAAAACAGAGATTATGTCTCATAAAGTGAGTTCTGCACCAGACTGAGGAAGGATCCGAACGCCCTCAGTGTGGAGTTTCCAACCTCTCTTATGCCTTCAAGAAAGGGCGTATTCACACCCTGATTGGCCAAGAAGGAAATCACCAAGCTGACAGTGCCGACAGCCTGAGCAACAGGTGACCTGAATGATCCTCTAAACAGCCCAGAGGAATGTTGACAATGAAATGAATGGGGGAAAAGGAAGATTAAATAGCAGTAAAAGTACAAATATAAAAATCATAAGGAAGAGCAGAACATTTAAAGAGATCAACAGCAAAACAAAACAAAAAGTTTTTAAGTTGATTAAGCTTATTTATGTCAACACAACTCATCAAAATAATGTTTGCAACTTAAAAGGTTTATCTAAATCAATAAATCGTATCTCAATAGGTCCACTTTTTAAGAGTTTGATGATGATGTCATCCTACTGAGATAGATAGATAAGATAATTACTCTCACAGTGTGATGTGAAGTACAGAAGCTGCCTGAGCCTCAGGGCTCTGAAGGTTGTGTGGGTGGTTACTGAGTGATTAACTGTAAATTAGTTTGGACATAATGCACCAATTAAACTCAATAAAAACTGAATGGTAGAGCCCTGAAGTGTCTCTCACATTACTTTAACCTGAGAGGTTAGATTAGAGATTAAGTTGAGACATGTAGCATGCCGCAGTATTTATGACTCGTGTCCGTTGGGAGCAGAAGAGGAAGTTGTGTGATGTTGTTATAGAGCCACAGAGGGAGGAGGTGGATAATGGATCAATAAAATGTTGGACTGACTACTGCTTGTTCCCTGTTTCAACCCGACAGGTAACATTGGTTTCTTTGAACCATGTTTTTAGTGCATAAACACAACCACATTTTAGAGGAAAAGTTTGACATTTTGGGGAATACTCTTGTTTGTTTGTTTGCGGACAAACCAAACACTGGCTCTAGATAGGGTCTTTCGCATGTTTTGTGGCCTCTGTAGTTTCTGGGTTCAGTTAGTTGCAGACTGAAACTTCACCACTAGATGGCACTAAATCCTACACACTAGTTGTTTAACATGTTACATGTTTTGTTGTTTAATTTACTTGTTGAATCTTGTAGAGCAGCCCTGTGTCAAAATCTAGTTTCAATATTTCAGGTAATATTACGCTAACATAACATATCAAATCATTACAATCTTAACCGTGCAAGAGGAAAACACTCAGTCCACCTTTGAATTAAGTCAGGTTTCAGGAACTGAAAGATGAGACTTCTTGACACAGCAAGTTATTAATATAATTGTAATTTTAGTTCTGGTTTGCAGTGGTTTGTGGTTTCTGCAGACGTCTGTGAAGAGAGACGTTCACACACACACACACGAGCAGCATACATAGTTAATCTTGGTCCAGTATGAAACTCATACGAGTGTGATGTAGAAACTTGAAGCCATCAGTGCACAAACTCTCTTAAAATAACTTATAATTAAACTTTATTTGTGTGAAAAGAACAAATTATTATTCAAAGTAGAACAACTTATTATTAATTAATTATGTTCTTGTTAAAACGTGTCTCGAGGGGATCTTTAAGTAAACGTATTAGCATCAAAATTAAGTCTCAAAAATAAAATAACTCATTATGCAGATTGACCTTTAGAATATTTATTATTATAATGTAATAATAATAATTAGTGATGCATTAATGTGTATGAATCACTGATGTTGCAGCTGGTTAAGGTGGAGTTACTCACACTACTTTATATTCTGCTGGGTAGATAGATAGATAGATAGATAGATAGATAGATAGATAGATAGATAGATAGATAGATAGATAGATAGATAGATAGATAGATAGATAGATAGATAGATAGATAGATAGATAGATACTTTATTTATCCCGAGGGAAATTCAAGTTAGCTAAGGGTAGCTTAATCCATAATAATACATCATAATGTATTAATTGATTTTTGTTTTGTATATTAAAATCTGAATCTACAAAGTAATTATTGTTGGCAAATAAATCCAGTGGAGTAGAAAGTAAAACTGAAATGAACTAAATTAATACTTAAGTATCTCGAAATTGTAACAACTGGTGACTTTTTCATTACTGGTGGGAGAAAAAAAGGGAGAGTGTGACTGGATCAGAGAGACGGGCGTGGGGGGGGGTGTTTCTCTTCTCAGAAATGAAACTTAAAGTGACTGCTGACTGCCTGAAACAGGAAGTGTGCTATAGGAGCTGAAGTGCTGCCTGTTCAGAGGGACGGCAGACAGAGAAACTCTTCCACACAGCGAGGACACACAGAGGTTTCACTGTTCTAGACACTCTGGTGAGGACGAAGATGAAGCAGCTTTATGTTCTCATGGTGATGGCTGTGATGTCAGCATTGGTGAATTCTGGGGCTGCGACTACTACCAGAAAACCCTGGACGACAAGTGGTATGCCACACACACACACACACACACACACACACACACACACACACACACACTCTTATAAGACATGTTTAAATATTTCAAATGACTTCCTGGTTGAATGCAGGTTATATAAACAAAACCAAATCACACATAATTCATGTTTTATACATTTTAAAGACACCTTTATTGGGAGGAACTCACACTGTGCAACATGTCAAACAGTAAAACAAGTGAATGTTATTATATTAGTCCAGCAGTCAGATAACAAGTGTGTGTTGGTGAAACACGGGAAACAAAAGGGTTGTTGACATGTGACAGTAAATCTCATCACCCCACATACCTCTGCACTGTGGTTCCTTCTCTTTGTTTTTACAGCACAAACATCCATGCAGCATGTTTTCACTCATCTGTAGATAGTCTACCTGCGTCCAGTCTAAGAGTCGGGATGTAACGCAGTCTGTAGTTGACAAAGAGCTTCTCATTTTTTGTGTTAATGAGCCTGAAGTTGTGTCCCGTTCCAGACTTCATACTGACTTTGAGCAGGTTTTAAGTATGTTAGTTAAATAAGGTTCAAAGGCTTTATTGTCATATGCAGCAAATATCAACAAAATACTAGAAACTAATACAAAATGAATAAGAAAAGCAATGTAGGCAAATATATACAGACATGCACACACCCACAAACGCAAATAAAATCATTGGAAAAACATTTTGCTTTCCCTTAATATTGTTTTTTTGGCTACTTTTCAAAGTCACATAGCCATAGTCCTCCAACTTCCTGAAATTAAAACACACAAATCTTTGTACTTCTATCTTTTTGAGGACCATCATTGGCAAAGCATTCCCCTAGGCCTTTACCCAAACCATAAAGCTTAAAGTAACTCACATGGAGAAACATCAGAAGTACCGGTGAGGCACTGCCTGAACCTTAAAACCAAGGCTGACCCTCAAACACACCTTTGAAGAAGTGAAGACCAGCCAAAATGTCCTCACTTTCAAAAAATGTCTTCACTCCGAATGTCTAAATCCCAAAGTGGTCCTCTCAAAGATGGATTTACAAGTAGACACACACACAGATCGAAAAGGGTATGTAAAATTATGTCTTTTACTGTGATTACTGTTTGTATAATATTGATCATGAATGTTACCATTTGATGCTCAGTAACAGAATTAGCCTAAGGCACATTTTTTTATCTGTAACTCTCTGCCAAGTCCGGATCAAAACATCCACAGACGGACAGAAAGTAGATTAACTAGACAAACAGGTCAAAACACATAACACAAATCAAACACAGTAGTACATCTACACACACACACACACACACACACCAACTAGTCCTCAACTAATGCAGTATTGCCTCCAGTTCGAGTTACACAATTAATCACAATTTTATCAAATAATGTTTTGATAAAGGTAAAATGTGACCAACCAGCATTATAATGAAATATTGTTGTGTTACAGAAGTGGCCTGGGTTTACGTTTGTTTGGTACAGATCTCCAAAAATGTCACATCAACATGATTTTAATCTTTCTTTCAGTGATGATCACTCCCACAGTAATTGGGAATCATATTGCATGTTTTTACCATATTGTGCAGTCAATAAGGAAATTACTGATCTTTTATAAACATTTACATATTCAGAAGGAACCATTGGATGTTTAGTGCCAGAGATAGAATAAGGAACACTTTGTTATTTTTGGTGTTTTCATGGGACAAAAATATCACCAAGCTTGTCCCTCAATAATGTTACAATAGGGCGTTCTGGTAGCTCACCGGCTAGATCCAAACATTTATCGGACACAAGAGGGAAGGATGTGCTAATAACTAGTGTGGTATCTCTTTCTCTTTCTTTCTCCAGGATCTGATGGGCAAAATTTAAACGGGAAGATGTTCACTTTGTCTCGTGATGGAGGAGGAATATACTTCTATCCCCCCGGTTATTCCCCTTGGTTTATTACTACTCCCTACCCAACACGCAGATACACAACACGTGGCTACTTCACCACCACCACCACCCCCAAACCCACCACTACCACCCCCAGACCCACCACCACCACCTACAAACGCACCACCACCACCCCCAAACCCACCACCACCACCCCCAGACCCACCACCACCACCCCCAAACCCACCACCACCACCTACAAACGCACCACCACCACCCCCAAACCCACCACTACCACCCCGAAACCCACCACCACCACCCCCAAACCCACTACCACCACCTACCCTCCCTGGACCACAGCACCTTCTACTAGAGGTAATTACATTCACAAACTACATAACCGAACAGAATCACACAACCAAACAAATGTTCTTTTTTTTACTGAACTTTGTCAACTAAATTAGTCAATCAACTTGTGAACCCTGACCCCTGCAGGTGTGTCCGTGTGTCTGCGTTACCTCACCGACTACAGTCAATCAAGCAGCCCCACAATCTTCAAGCTCAGTCCATCAGGCTCAAACACTCTGATGCTGTCAAGCAGTTACAGTGGTGTGTATACCCTGTCCTATGGATACAGTAATTACATGTACTTCCGACCTAACATAATGTTGTGGTCGAATATTCAACCGGACATCTGGACCAGAGTCTGCGTCACCGTGGACACCGTGAAGCGTGTGGCTCAGGTGTTTAACGGCTCGACCGTGAGCATCAGGAAGCTGCTGCCTTATCAGGTGAGGACATAATAGTTTTTTTATGAATTCATTATTTTATTAAGTTATTTATTAATACGTTTTATTATATTATTATTTTAATTATTTAAAAGAAATTGTTTAATCACCTTGTTTAATTTAAACAACTGAACAACTTGCAATGTTTTGTATTTCACGTCTGAAAAGAGATTCAATACTTTGAATGTATGTTTACAAGCAGTTTAACAACCTGCTGGATTAATTATGTTATCATCTTCATTATTATCTCTAATATTATCTATCTGCTGTGTGTGTGTGTGTGTGTGTGTGTGTGTGTGTGTGTGTGTGTGTGTGTGTGTGTGTGTGTGTGTGTGTGTGTGTGTGTGTTCAGTATGTCTGGTCAGGTGAGCCTGTGATTGATTTTTCAGGTTTTGATGGTCAGTTCACAGATGTCCAGGTCTGGAATTATCCTCTCAACTACAAAGAAATCTACAACTACATGACCAGCAGTGGCTATGGGTATGTTTGTGTGTGTGTGTGTGTGTGTGTGTGTGTGTGTGTGTGTGTGTGTGTGTGTGTGTGTGTGTGTGTGTGTTCAGGGGTATTTGTTCATTTACAGGGAACTGATGCCTTGAACTATGGAAGTCCATTCCTTCCAGTAAAATTTAAAAAAATAAGATGAAAAAGGTCATGTTAGGTCAAAAGTAGTAATTATGATATATATTCATGACATTTTAATTATGACTTTTTATCTCATAATTTTTACATAATATGACAATTGTTTTTATTATCAGGGCTAAGTTTTCATCTTATTTTATTTTATTTTACTGGTGGAAATGGGCTTCCATATATAAATTAATATACATTTAAGTGAAAAATATCCAATATCCCGCTCTACTCCTCTACGACCTTTAAAATATCCACCAAATACTCCCCTACCACTGATTGTTTAGCATCCAGAAGTGTCCAGTTTTGGAATATAAACCAGTGTAATTTTAACTTTAAATGTCCTTTCATATATAAACCATTATCATTATAATATTTTATAAACTTTTTGGACTTAAATCCATCATTTAAAAGCATAATTGTGTTTTTAGGTGGTACCACGGCTCCGTCCTCACCTGGTCCTCCATCAAATACTCTCCCAGAGGATACACGCTACTGGAGGACGTCTATGAGAGGCAGGCGAAACAGCCAATGAGAAGCAGGGGGAGAGGACATCGACCAAACTGGGAGAAGAAGAAGAGAGCGTTTATCTATGTGGAAGGGTGGAAAGAAAGACAACAGCTTTAATGAAACATCTGTTCTACGTTTATTAATACAGAATTCTTAACTATTCAATCAATTAACAAGCATTATACCTTAGTCTGGGTGAGCACTCGAGGTCTATATGAGCGGAGGCAACTAGAAATATCTCCTGTTGCTAAGTCGTATCTAAGGTTTGTCCTATGTACTGGAGAAGTGAACGTTTCTGTTGCATTATTAGCTGGTAATGATTCTTCCAGGTATTAGTCAAACCCTCAGGTGACACCAGGGAAGTGGAGTTAAAAACTTAAGATTTCTGATTGCAAAACGCATGAAAATATAAAATAATGATCTTTGGCATGTGACCATGGTTTAATCGGGCTAATGCCCTTCGAGGTTTCCATAATCAGGAATTAATGGAGGAAACAGTCCGACGATCTGGGCTCCACGTTATCCATTACTGATTTATGTGATTATATTTCTATAGACTCTCAGTAACAGAATTCATTTCACATCTTTGACTTTATATTGTTCTCTTTTTAAGTTGTGGTTTTCTTAATTTTGTATATTATTAAAAACTATACAAAAAAAGGATGCCTGACAGAATGTTGTTATTGATCGTTCATTTCAAACATTTATTAAGGCTGGAAATAACAAAACACTGAGCTGATTAAATCATTTTGTTGACTTCAGTTTAGAGATTTATAGTCAGTATGTGGTTCGTTCACTTTTTAAAGCTAAATGAATGAACGCTTCACTGTCCTCACCGTCGTGGGTTCCTCGCCGACAGTCTTCAGATCAGTTCCTGGTTCAAGCTGTTACGTTGAGTTCAGAACAAAACTAGCCAATAAAACGACTGTTTAGAAGGTTGTTAGTTCAGCAGGCTGCTATTTGTGATGTATGATCAGAGTCTGTGGCAGATTACAGTAGGGGTGGGTTTTTGAAGATCCATTCTATGGGATCGATACCAAACAGGGACCAGTCTTTTTTCTATGTTGCACCCATTTGTACTTCATCAAAGGAAGAACTCTCTGTACAAACAATCTCTTTTGTCTCTTCTTCCTCTCTTCTGTGTTTAGACGCACACAGTTGAAAGAAAGAAAAGTACTGTTTGAATGAAAATGTTGCAAACTTCGATGTGTGTAGGAAGATCTACTAGGTTCAACATTCAGGCTGCAGGCCAAAGTGAACCAGATCTGATTATTTTTGTTAATTTGGCCGACCGACTTCAGTCTGAACAGTCGTGTCAGAATTTGAGTGACTTTTTTACGTCACTCTGGACTGACATTCGTGATGTGTTCGTCACTTCTGGACTGTGACCTGTTCACACTGGAATCAGATTTGGGCCACATTTAACAAATAACGTGAACAGCCAAAAACAACCAAAAACAATGCACATTCAGTTTACAATAATAAAAAATATTTGTGTTATTTGCCTTTAAAAACTAATTATAAAAAGTGGAAAGCAAAAGAATGGCTTCATTCATTTATGGAGCACTTTTGTAGTAATAATAATAATAAGTATTGTAGCGGTTCTGGCCCTGTATTACTATTTTTATGAAACTAGTTAGTCTTTTTAATTTAGCTGGTCTGCATTTACATTCCATACTTTATTTCTTACTTCAAAAAAATGTTCCTCACATTTTAAAGCGGTTTCAATAAATATTCTTGTAACATGAAAGATAATTTATATCTGTTAGTTAGTGTTAGTAGTGTTACGGTTGTCTGAAGCAGCAAACAGAGCGAACTATCTTTTGTTGAACAGTTCAGGTTGTTCCTCAGTTAGTTTGCTGCTGACTTTATTCACCGCTGATAAAGAGTTTTTTTTTCTTTTCTTCAGGTTGAGACACATACCAGGAAAAACATGAAAAAATACAAAGTGACTCAATAAAAGATTTATTAAACAGTGTCATCAGGTATCTGTCAGCCTGGAACTTGACTTCCTCAGACTGGCTTTTCTTACTTCTTTACATCTGTGTTCGGTTCAAAGGTTAACTTATTATCAATAATCAGTGTTGGGCTGGTTTGTCAAAAAAGTTAATATATTACTTATTACTCATAATATATAGTATATAATATACTTTTCTTATTACTCCCTGCAAAAAATAATTAGTTACACTTTTACTTTTCCCATAAATGTGGTAATTGTGTCCAGTCAGACGTTCAAAATCCAGTTTTGTTTGTTAAAATCAAAGTAATGTGAATATTTCCAGCTGCTGAATGTTTCCATCTTCCAAACTAGTTTCCTCCACGATTACAAAAATGAAAGCAAGGATGTGATTGAATTGTTGGAATTTAAATCAGTAGGCCGTGCCAATAAAAGTAACGTTATAAAACTAGTAATAAGTTACTGGCCAACACTGTTAATAATTAAAGAAGAAGGAGCTGCTCATCATTATATGGGAAACAAGAATAAGAGAAGATAATAAGACAAATGAGAAATAACACTTGTTACAGCAGCTCCAGATAGAACACAGCAGATAAGGGAAAAAATAAATACACATTAAATAGTAAGACAGAAAAATACAAGATTTAAAGAAAAATAATAGAATTAAAGTTGCATGTTGAGTAAGAAGCAAAAGAGAAGAATTGTTTTATTTTTACTAGTTGTGCAGTCAGATGATTTAAACTAGGCTCAAAGTGCTTCACATTGCAAAACTGAAACAACACATTTTGTAAGGCTAAGAAATGAATACATTAAAACATTAAAGTGGACTGCTATTCACTGGATCAGAGACTTAATGGCTCTGCACTGGACAAACAACCCCACCCTCCACCCACCCACAGCTGCATGCTGGGAAAGAAGGACTTTCTCTTTGAGGAAATGAAACTTAAAGTGACCGCTGACGTCTGAAACAGGACATGAAGTGAAAGAGTGCAGCCTGGTCCAAAGGGACACACAGACGCTTCACTGCAGACACATTGTATACACTGTCAGTGCTGCGGACACAGCAGGGTGAGGGGTTGAAGATGAGGAAGATGAAGATCAAGCTGCTTTTTGTTCCCATGGCGCTGGCAATGACCTCAGCGTTCATCATCATGAATTCTGGACTCAGATGGACTCCAAAACCAAACACTAAAAGCGCAACTGCAGCTCCACAGGCGAGATGGACGACAACAGGTGCACGCACACATACACACACACACACACACACACACACACACACACACACACACACACACACACACACTGAAACCAATATATTTATAAAGGGTTTTAAAATCTAAAATGACTTCCTGGTTAAATGCAGGTTATATAAACAAAACCAAAGCACACATTATTAATACTTTATACAATTAGAAGACACTTTTATTCAGAGGAAGTCACACTGTGCAACATGTGGGACAATAAAGGGCTAATATTAGTCAGAGGGAACCGGGAAACTGTGGTTAACAGAAACAAAAGGAAGAGCAACTGTTTATGAACAATGTGCACAGATTTATGCTGCATTGATTCAGGCAGCTGGACGGAGGAGGGTCCAGCTTTAGTCCTCCCTCCTCAGTAAACTTATTCAGCCTAACAGTCCTCCAAAGTCTGTCTCTGTTCCGACTTTCATGAGGATATTACTATTATAACTGCACCACCGGTGTTATGGCTTAAAGAGTGGCTGCAGGGCCAGATGTTGTTATATATTGTTATATATACTGTCAATGGTTGTTACTCACAGTGGAGGCAGCTGTTGGAAACATGAACAGAACTCTTGTGTAAAATGTTTAATATCCGTCTGGAGGAATTTGACCCCATAATACAGATTAATTTCCACATTATAAGAATATTATAAGGAAGTGAATGAGTTTTATACTACACTACCAGTATGAATGCAGTTGTATGGAAAAGTTCAGTTTTATTTTATTTAATAAATTGAACAAAAATAAAAAACTCAGGGTTGGTGAGGCCAAGTGAAGCTGAACAAAACCTTCATGGTCAGTAGAAGAAAACCTGCATCCACATTGTAAAATCCAACGTCAGAAAATATGCAACAGAACATCTACAGGAGCCTGATGTGTTTTTGGAAACGAGTTTTTGGGCTAAAGTTAAAATAAAACTCTTTGGGCCACAATCAGCAGAGGTATGTTTGGAGAAAGAGCAGTGTTTCATGAACAGACTGTTCAGGGTTAGGGAACAGTTGGAGGGAAGAATTAGCAAACATCACACCATCTGTAAAAGGAAAGAGGAAAGCTTCAACAAAGGGATAATGATCCTAAACATTCCTTGAAATCCACCATGGTTTTGGGAACGGTCCTCACAGTTTCCTGACTGAAATATCAGTGAAAGACTGATCTTAAAAGAGCTGCACATTCAGGACGCCCCAAAAATACTGCAGCACCAGAAGAATGGGGAGGAAATACAAGAACTGAAAGACTTCTAGCTGGCTACAAAAAGTGTTTACACATGCCACAGTGACGCCCAGAAAACGTTGTGTATACAAGAAAAAAAAAAACACACAGGCAGAGGGCAGCGTCTCTGCAGATACAGACATTAAGGAAGATCTATTGGCAGAAATAGAATATATTATTAACAGGTAGGTTTTTATTAGTGTACAATCAACTGAATATAAGGCTGTGTTTGTCTGCAGTAGCACAGAACGGATGAACCAGACACTGGCTTTAGATGGGGCTGTAGTTTTTCCTTTGTGCTTGGTTGCTTGCTTCAGTTTTTAATGAATTATTGCAACAACAAAAAAAGCCTAAAAACTACAACATGCATTGCAATTTTATTGACATTTTACAACAATCCCAAAAAAAGCCTGCAGAATCCTGGAGGGGCTGATATTGTCAATATTATATTATAATATATACCCCCACAAATCATGTTTTCAGGGGAGCTCATGTATCATATTTAATGGCATTTATTGGCAATGTAATATATCACCAAACGTATCATTATAATAATCATAATGTTATAAGACAATCTAAAATACAGAAACACAGTGTAAATGTAAGAATCACACAGTTAAAAATAAGCAGAGTTTATATACTGCTGACACTCTTTCCTTCTCCAGGATCTTATGGACAAAATTTAAATGGGAAGATGTTCACGTTGTCTTGGAATGGAGGAGGAGTATCCCTCTACGCCCCCACCTCTCCCATCTGGGCTTCCACTACTCCCTACCCACCCAGTACCAACAGCACCCAACCCTATAGCACGACCGATCCCACTACCACCAGACCCTACAGCACCATCGATCCCAACAGCACCCTACCCTACAGCACTCTACCGTATAGCACCCCCAATCCCAACAGCACTCTACCCTATAGCACCCCCAATCCCAACAGCACCCTACCCTACAGCACTCTACCCTATAGCACCCCCAATCCCAACAGCACCCTACCTAGCACCACCCGAACTTACCCTCCCTGGACCTCAGCACCTCCTTCTAGAGGTAAGTACATTCACAAACTACATAACCAAACTGAATCTAACAGTAGGTCTATAACTAAATGAGGTGGTTATTTTTAAAGTTTAGATTATTATTTATTCACAGACAATTATGCAGCAACAACCAAAGAGCTAATAGAACAATGGCCCACTGTCAGGGAGAAGAAAACACTCAATTTGTATGAAAAAGTTAAATTATCAGGAAAACTGCTCAAATATAATTTTTATTATCCATATAAATATGTCACTTAAGATTAACTCAGTGATAGAAAAGGTTCCCTTAAGGAAAAAGGTTGGTAACCACTGCACTAAAGCAACCAAACAACTGTTCCTGTGTTGGTTTTAACTTCACTTTGTCTGAACTGAATTTGTCAATCAGCTCTCCCCATGTGAACACTGCAGGTGTGTCTGTGTGTCTGCGCTACCTCGCCGACGTTGAATCACAAAGCACACCCACAATCTTCACTCTCAGTCCATCCACAGCCCCTTTGACGCTGCAGATTACATTCTATGGTGTTTATGCACTGCCCTTTGGCGGATACAGAAACCTATACTTGCGACCTAACATAAGATTCTGGTCAACCAATCAACTGGATCTCTGGACCAGAGTCTGCCTCACCGTGGACACCGTGAAGGGTGTGGTCCAGATGTTTAGCGGCTCGAGCATTAGCGTCAGGAAGAAGCTGCCTTTTCAGGTGAGGACAGAGTAGCGTGCTTGTTCAGCATTTTTGTATCTTGTATTTTGTAGCTGTAGTTTAATAATCAGAATTTAATTTAAACAACTAGAAAAACTTGGTGATGTTGGCAGCAATGTGGCCTCTATGACAGAAAGATGAGGCCTCCAATGTTTATTGTGGATTTTGCATGTAATCATCTTCGTTATTGTCTCTAATATCATTCTGTGTGTGTGTGTGTGTGTGTGTGTGTGTGTGTGTGTGTGTGTGTGTGTGTGTGTGTGTGTGTGTTTGTTCAGTATGAATGGTCTGGTGAGCCTGTGATTGATTTTCCAGGTTTTAATGGTCAGTTGACAGACGTCCAGGTCTGGGATTATCCTCTCAACTACAACGAAATCTACAACTACATGAACAGCTGGTGTGTTTATGTGTGTGTGTGTGTGTAGTTGCACCAGTCTACTGAAACTGAGGTTTAGCTGTTAAAGGTTCATTCATTAATTAAAGGCAAATATTAAGATTTAAAAGTTCAAACCTGCTGCATATCATAAATGTTCAATATATCTACCCAATATTACTCAAATTCACAGAGACAACAAGCATCCATATCTATGACCGGTGCAAACAAAAAAGTAAAGTAACAGTAAACTACAACATGTTTCATTCCTGTATAGTAGTATTTTTCAACCTAGACCTTATTTTCCCATGTTTTTGTGGGGACAATAAGTTTTGAATTTGGTCCATTATTGACTGAGAGCGCTGCAGCTGTGAAACAGACGTAATCTTTATAATTGCAATTGCACATTGTCAAAATATGTCTATTAAAAGTGTCTATTTTTGCCACAAACCCGGTAGGGATCGCCACAGCGGCGATGGCCTAAGTGTATGTAATGTAAGGAAAATAAAAACAATATTATTCAAGATATAAACTGAAACAGAATCTCACAGGATAAGGTGTATTCACAAGCCTTCAGATAAACAGCCTCATCCACCACTGAATATATAAAAAAAATAACCCAAATAAGTATGTGTGATGCTAAATATAATAAAAAATACATAGTACAGAGAGAGAAATGTATAAAAGGTTCCTAAAAATAATCAGGAAAACTCATCTCTGATGCAACATTCACAGGAAATAATCTCCTCAAAATTCATTCAAATCACTTGTTTACTTAAACTTCCTGCAGTTATTGTGTCATTACTACACTCACTGTTAACTTCCTCCAGTGAGACTTAGGTAAAAACACACAGCACAGAACAGAAAACGTTTCACGGTCCAGGTTGAAAAATACCTTTTAGTTTATTAAAGTCTGATGTTTGCTGGTGGCTAGTTCAGGGGGGATGGGGCACTTTATTTAATTTGGGAAATCCTTCATTTAGAAGAATAATTGTGTCTTTTAGGTCGTCACACCGCGGCTCCGTCCTCACCTGGTCCTCCATCAGCTACTCTCCCAGAGGAAACACGCTGTTGGAGGACGCCTACGACAGCCAGGCAAAACGGCCAATCGGCAGCAGGGGGAGAGGAGGTCGACCAAAGGGGGAGAAGAAGACGAGAGCATCGGTCAACGTGGGGGAAAGGAAAAAGAAAACGAGACAACAGATTTAATGAAACCTACAGCTTTAGTTTCACTGTGACATGAATGCTGTGTTGTTTCATCCTGGTTCACAGAGGTTGTGTAGCACAGAGTCTTCTAGATAGGCCGCTGTGTGAATGTTTTATTACAATACTGTAAGCATAAAAGCAAACAATGCCATGAAATACACTCAGCAGTGAGCTTCAAGTTACAATAAATAAGACTGCGATGGACAGCTTCTGTGAGAACACAAGTCAGTTTCATTACATAACGCTTCTTATCAATACTTTTCTCCAAACGGTCCTTCAGGCCACCAGAGTGGTTCATTGAAGTGGTTTTATGGCTTCAATAAAAACAAAAAAAAACTAAATTATGCTCAGTAGTGCAACTTAATGGCTGTATGTGCTTGTATCAGCGTACGTTGACATTTTGAATTTGTAGTGTTTATATTTCTTTTCTCCAACAGCACTTGGCTCAAATATTTTGGCACTTAACCTTGAAAGTACTGTTAGCATTGTGAACTTTTATTCACTAACACCACTGGGTAGCGGCCAGAGCTAACAAACTAGCAACTGCAATGACTACAAGTAAGGAAATTTGAAAACAGATGATTGATTGATTGATTGATGACTGAAGTACAGTCAGGTACAAATAATAAGTCTTGTTGAGCCACTTTTGTGAAATACCTTGTATGTTATCATGTCCATTTAAATGATCAGTGTTGCGTCTTCAAAGTGTATTTTTGTGATCGCACTGATGTTTTCTGTCTGTTCTTGATGATAAAATGTTTTCTTTGGGGGAAAACCACAAATGGAAATATTGGATTCAGCCGTTACTGCGGGTAAACATGTAATTACTCTGGCAGTGGTGGAAAGTAACTAAGTATAATTATTCAAATACTTAAGTATGATTTTGAGGTTATTTTACACTACAGGGATATATTTAATGTTTTACTCCACTACATTTATTCGATAACTTTAGTTACAAGTTACTTTGCAGATTCAGATTAATAACACAAAATAGAATAAACCATAAATAAACAAATAAATTATGATGTATTATTATTATTATATTATTATTATAGGTTAAGAGGAGACTTTATTGAACAAGGGGTTAAACTCACAAGCTAACCAGAAGGATATAAAGTAATAAAAATGATCTCCACCTTTACCAGCCGCAACATTAGAGTGATGTACACATTAATTCAAATTCATTATTAACACAATATTATAATATACATTATTCTGCATTATGAGTACTTTTACTTTGTGTTTTTACTTAAGTAAAATATTTGAGAACACTGCTTTAAAGAAGACATCTGTCGGTATAGTTTAGCCACAGATTATTGGCCATAAAGAAATATTCTACCATAGCACAACCATTGAATGTAATATTGCTTAATCATGTGAGCATGTATACATACCGTAAAACTTCTAATAATATCCTGGACGTTTATTTGCTCAAATCACTGAACACCCCCTGCCTTTATTGGGGACAGGCCTCTATTTGGGACAGGCCTTTAATTCCTTTAGCACAAAACTAAACTAACTGCTGCTTCTCTTGAGATTTTGTTCAGCAAATTTGACAACTAACATGATGATTATGATCGCTTCAGGGTTTTTCTTCCTTCTCTCTTGTTTACCATGTTACCGGCAATTCATTCTGAATTGCCGTTATACTTTGGTGTTGATAGTTTTAGTAAAATGTAGTGAAAGACTGAATTGTGGAGAATCTAACTGATCTGCACGATGTTCATTATGTACATATACCTATACATACCTGGTGGGTGTTAAGAGGTTTTATACATCAAGATCATTTCTATAAAATCCAGACCAGGCCTCTATTGGAGACCTACGTTTATTTGTCAGAATGTGTAGCCACACCAGGCTTTTAAAAGAGACCTGCGTCTATTAGAGACCCTGCTTTTATTGGAAGTTTTACGGTAGCCATTAATATCAATAAATAGGTTAAATTCGCAAGATAACTAGAAAAAAACACTACAAATTCAAAAAGTCAAGTTGTCAACAACATTGTAATTAGTCAGAGAAAGGTAAGTGAACATTATATGGAGCAACTCGTATTTATATCTCTGCATTTAGTAAGACATCTGTTGTAATAGCAAAATAACTATTGTGCATCATATCTGGGCCGTCATTTCACTTTACACCATTATGTATAAAACTCTTCATTCTCCACAGAGTACAATATGAGAACAGCCCATAAAAAATTCAAAGTTGTTAAAATAAGTTTTTTTTTTTTTACAAATATAAAACTTAGATGGTTGCCCAACAACCAGATGTCACAGGTTTATCCAACCAGCACGTGTTTTTTAAAATTCTCTACAATTATCTGCTTGACAAAAAAAAAGAGGCAAATTTCAAAGAATTTATATAACGTGTTACATGATGGCTTAAAGGAAAATGACCCAAAAAACAAACAAAAACAACAACAAAGTTTGACAACAGGGGCCATTTAACATATTCAAACAAGTCAAATTCTGAAAAAGCAAACATCAAACAACTATGTGCCGTTATGTGTAACCAATAACTATAGTTTTAGAAAAAAAAAAAAAATCAAAGTAATTTACGTTCTGTAAAATACAAATAACCACAATAAATGAAATGACCTGTTAAGCTGTTATTGCTGTCACTATATGTGGTTTTAATTTTTACACTGTTAGGAGTCCAGGAATGTTCATGAATTAAAATAAAATCGGGCCTAAAGAAGCTTTGAGTTGAATGATTTTTTATTTTAAAGGACCAACGGTTTTTGCAAGTTTTGGCCTTTTAAACTTCAAGATCCTTTTAATAAACAACAATTATTTTCTCATTTGTTTAAAAAGGACCAGTGTGCAGGATTTTAGTGGTTAAGTTGCAGATTTCAACAATCTGAATACAGCTCAGTCTAGTGTGTAGGTGAAACTACAGTGGCCTCGAGAAACCTGCAAAAGGCCCCATCTACAGGCAGTGTTTGGTTTGTCCGTTCTGGGCTAGTGTAGAAACATAACGGTTCAACATGCCATTCTGAGGCAACAGAAACACAATGATTCATATATTCAGGCTATTATACAATAATGAAAACATGAATATTATATTCTGTTTCTGCCAATAGATCCTCCTCAATGTTACACACTGGACCTTTAATTGTTTATTAAATTTAAGTTTAAAGTTCTCTGAGACACTTAATGACCTGTAATCTGAAGTGGATTATGAAAGTAAGTTTGTTGGGTTTCTCATATTTTAAAAAGGACTCTGTGTGTAGGTTTGTAAGTTTGAGCTCTCTCTCGTCAGTTCATCAGAAAAACAATTTAAAACAGACTTCGACATAGAGGATCCTGAGCGGGATGGTCGTCAAGAGTTCAGTTTTTGTCAGAAGTGGTTCTTCAGCAGATTAAATTTAGTGTAAGAACAAAACGTTAATCCTTGAGCCGCTCTCATTATCTTTACAGGAACCAGTCGTCATTCATTCAGATTGCGACTAACTCGTTCAATCTTTGGTTCTGCTCTCATTCCCTTAAGGCTCCAGCATTGTTTTAACACAAATCAAAAAGCTGCTCCATCTGTGTAATATCAGTTAAAACAATGCTGGCTGTAGTGTTGGGCGTCTTTTTGTCTCCCATTTTCTCAGAAATGCAGGTTTGACCGTGCAGCCGCTGATCATCTAAAAAGGATCTTTACTAAAAGCACGCTGGTGAAAACATTTCTGGTGAATTTTGTGAGTTGTTGCAGGACTTTTCTCTCACAGTTTGGACTCACTTATCTATGGAAGCACACTTCTGTCTGCAAAATAATCAAATAAAATGGTATGTTAAATGAATAATTGTAATTATAATTAAGACTTAATGAATTAGTAAAAGATTTTGACTTCCTAAATCAAAATTATGACTTGAAAAAAATAAATTTATGGGGTTTGCAATGTTTGACATTTCATTTTGAATCTCTATAAATACGTCAACCTTTCACTGCAGTCGGGAACGTAATGAACCAGTTTCATTAAAAGCATGAAAAAGATCATCAAGTTAAACTTTCTCATTTATATTACAGTGCAAAGCTAAAAATGTGATCACTCTCAAACGATTATAAACGATTTCTACGGTGGTGATTTGGGGAAGAAAGTGTGAAGACTTTATGGCTCAATTATAAACTGTTATCAGCAGTAGTACACACTGTTACTACAGCAACCACAGGCCAACATCTGTCTTTGTTTACATTCAGAGGAATAAAAACCAGCATCCTCTGTTTTCTTACCACAAGATCACACATCCAGTCACAGCTGAGTGACGCACACATCATCCGATTACTAAATCTGTCCCTGTCTCTCAACATGTGTGGATTTAAACTGCATTGATGTCACGTGACATGTCCGAAGCGTAAACCACTATTTACTGTCCCACATATAAATGTCAGAGAGTGAGTTCTGTGTGAGTGCAGGTTCATCTGTGTGTATGAATCATGTTTTAGTTGCAAAGTTTATACAGTTCGAGCCACTACAGAAGTTAAGTCTTCCTCCATTTGAGCTAAAAACATCTTCTTACAAACTGGTGCACAGCACAAAATAAATTATATTCTTTACAAGTAAATCTTACATGACTTAGGACCGTAATTAATTAAATTAGATGAGTTTTGCATTGAGGATTCAGAAGATTTAGTGATTTAAATGTTATAAAGTAGTATAGATACTTCCAAATTGCATTTGTTGTGTCAGTGCTGCCCAGTAAAAACTTTCCATGAAGGGAGGAAAGCAGTATTGCACTGAGCTGAAGTTTATCAAAGAAGTTTCATTATAAAAACCCGTCTCCACCAGGAAAAGAAGGAAAAACTACAACTAATGAAATATTAAAAATGTTCATGGTAATTTAAAATGATTACATAAAAAAGTCAGAGCTATCAGATTGTAATTCTGACCTAGTATCAATTATTACTTGTCACAATTTTAACGAGAAGTCAAACTTTTTATTTTATTTAATAATACTGACTTCAAACGTTTAACTTAGGATCTCATACTTTTACATGAAGAGACAAAAAAAATTAAATTAGTGTCTTAGTATCTCCAAAATTTGGATTTACCGTGAGTATTTGTTAACATTTCTAAGTGTTTATCGGTTTCTTTTTCTCTTTCTTGGCAGAAATAGGCTTCCATAAATTCACAGTCCAGCAAGACTTTCCTTCAACCCTCAGAGGAGCTTGAAATAAAACGTTTAGGATTCAGTTTTCAGAGAAATACAATACTAACGACAACATTTCTGGACATTTGGAATATTTCCTCAGGCTGTTATGACAGGATATACAAAGATCATGTGACATGGATACAGGGCTGTGACTGGCTCCTGAGCACACGAGACAAGAGCCGTTTACTGCATTGACAGTTATTACAGGGTCGCTGGTACTTAATGCTCTGTGCATTGTGTGTTTTAACATGTTAGTAAAATGTAATTATAAAGCACTGCTTGGCTCTGCTCGGTTCAGTTTGTTTGCATAAGTGTGTGTGTGTGTGTGTGTGTGCGTGAAGGGCACACTGGTCCAGTTAGCGATGAAGTGCACTTCTTTTTAAAAAAAAAAATATGGATGAAAAACTCCAAAGTCAGTTCTGCCGGACTGCGGGAGTCCATCGTCAAGTTAAAAAAGGTTAAAAATGACAAAACATCAGGAGTTAAAAATGCTGAGGGTCAAAGGTCAGCTGGGTTCATCTTCCTTCTCTTACCTCCACTGTGATGACGGATCCTTTTTGCACACAGGCCACCAAAGGTACGGAGCTGTGGTGAACTAGAAGTGCATCAAGCGCTCCTTTCTGTACTTGATAATATCTCCTCAGTTCTTTAAAATGCTGTTTCACCTTCTGAAAATCCTTCAGAGGAGTTCACGTCGGGCAGCTCCGGCCTGGTTCTGGCTGGTTGTCTGAACACCACATGAACATGGTCCACTGAGCCGCCACAGCAGCGGTTTGAGGGGGGGGGGAATAAAGTAAACACAACTAAAGTGGGATGTATATTTAGGGAAATAAAACAGCGCTGTGTGGTTTCCGTATTAGACCAGAACAGGTTCTCAAACTAGGACCCAGTCTGAGTAAACTTGGGTCCCTCCACTTGGGAGCCAACTGGGAGGAAACCCACTACCCCCCAAACTTTAAAACAAGCTCAAACAGGGGTTAGGGTTGCAGACTTGAGGGGTTAAAGGTCAGGGTGTGGAGGGCTTGTGGAGGATACCCTGCAGGTCCTCTGGTAAGGCCAGGATGACGGCCTCAATGTGAGCCCTCAGTTTGGCCACAGTCCCCGGACGCACTGGGAGCTGCTCCTTCTCCGCCTGACTCTGCAGCAGAGAACACACAACATTTTATTATTTATAGACTTGTTTATTTAAATGTGACAACACATAAAACATGTTAAATATCTGTCATGTTCTATTCTAAATGTTTCTGATCTTTAAAATGACTTAAAATGACTGATATGAGCAATAGCAGTAACATTAGCAGCAGTATAGGCAGTAGTAGTAGTAGTAGTATGTGCCATGTTTGTACTGACCAGTTTATCTTTCAGCTTCAGAACCAGATCAACAGTCTCCACTTCAGAGTGCTTCTGGACTCTCTCTTGCAAATCCTACAGACAGACAGACAGACAGAGAGACAGAGAGACAGACAGAGAGACAGACAGATACTGATGAAGGATGAGAGATTTCTGAGCCTTATTAAATGATAAACTGATTGTAAAAACCTTGATCTGACTGTACCTGCACACTCCCTCCCTCCCTCCCTCCCTCCCTTCTTGCTCACCTCCTCACACAGCGCCTCAAGGTGCAGAGCCTCCAGTTTCTGGGTCATCTCTCTCCTCCTGTTGCGGAACCAGCCGTCAAAGTTGGGAGACTTGAGGAAATTCCTTCAGACGCAGAAAAACACAAAGGAGTCCACATGATGCTCAGGATAATGTACATTTCTACAGCACTGATTCCATAACTGATTATAACTGACTACGCTTAAGCTGTGTGTGTGTTTGTGTGTGTGTGTGTGTGCGCGCATACCTATACAGTCCTATCCAGTCTCCTTTCAGTCTAGACGTGAGCTGAGGTCCAGCTTTCTCCAGAGTCTTCATGAAGTCCTGCTGGATGAACGGTCGGAGTTGAGGAGGACTCTTCCAGGGACTGATGGACTTCTGCAGAGGCATCAGACTGGCAACGTACCGCTCCTGTAACACACACACACACACACACACACACACACACACACACACACACACACACACACACACACACACACACACTTTAATTATTTCAGTTCAACCCAGCAGCAGCACTGATGGAGAACATGGAAAAGTGGATTCAGAGCTGTGTTTGAGAGCTGAGAGTTGGGATCCTCCAGATGGGCCCCAAGATAACTAATTAAGTATCGAGGATCTTAAAAACACCATGTACCATCCATGTACCTTTCACAGTTGAGCATAGAGACACACAAACGATGAGACAATATCATCTTGAGAAAAGATGAAATATAAAATGATCAGTTGTTACCAGAGGAATGATGAAGCTTTGTGTCAGTTCTAAGAAGTAACGTCGAAGAATTGCATTTTGGGCTGCAGAGGGTCTCTTCTGTTGAACACCCTGAAAAACAAACAAATAAAAACATAATTTAACTTGATTATCAAACATACGACTGGTCTCACATTTATTTGTGTACATGCCAAACAGCTATTACAACAGTTATTACTGTTTTTTAGTTTTTCTGAAAGAAAAATAGCTCAGAAACTGTAATAAATGTTTTTGGTCCTACAGCCCTCAACATATGAATATTATACAATCTGGCCCGCAAAATTATCATTATTTTATTTAATCTAGTTGTTTCTTATCGGTTTAAACTCTATTTTTAGAAATGTTTTACAAATTAATTTGCTGCAAAATAAAGGTGCCCACAAATGTGTGCAAACGGGCCTATACTTGTTGTTTGACTGCGAACAACAAAGATGCTATAAAATTATATAAAAAAATGTATAGGAACTGCTGTTTGCATTGTTTTTGTTAAATATTATGTTAATAATGGAAATATTGTCAGAATATTGCACTCTCTTGGAGTACTTCCTCTTGTAGTACTACCTCTTATGATACCAGCAGTGGCACCAAACCAAAGAAAAAGTTTAGATGTATAATTTAAGAATAACTAAACCCCCCAAAACCACCACATTTAGTAGTGTTGTTAATCAATTCAGGTCCAAATCAATAAAACACGTAAAGAACATGTGCAGGACATTGACGAGAGACCGTCTGACCTTCTGAAGCTGTTTGATGATTTCTTCATCCTTGTTGAGATACGGCTTATATGCAGTGTACACACCTGCAACACACACACACACACACACAGATAAAGAAACAGAAGCCCACCCTGCCTACAGCGAACAACTGGTCTGACAGAGACTTAACACTTCCCCCTAGTGGTGAATCTGCAGCCTCATAAACATAAATGTGAGTTTGTGAGTGGGGACAAGTGTGAAGCATTTACCAGGTTTAGAATCCAGAGTTTTGAGGTTTTTCAGTTTCTTGACTTTCATCTGCTTGGCCATCTCTCCTGAGAGGAGCAGACAGAAAGAGGAAAGATCAGACAGACAGTTCAGGGTTTTTCTGTGTTATTTGACTTACAGCTGTACAGTAATTCAGCACAGGACTGGCCAGCATGTGCTGAGATCTAATTTTGTATAGTGACAGTATATACACAGAGTGACCAGAAAACAAGACTAAGTCACAACCTTGTACGTGGCTGGACCGTGTATGTTCAATGTGCTCCTGAGGATGTAATCGAGGACAGTCTCGCTGTAAAACTAACTTAATACTTGACTTCCGATAAAGTAAGTCCATGAATAGATATGAGTTTACAGTTAATTCCAATTCTGCCTCTGTACTGAGGAGCCGTATAGCAGAGTATGCAGCCATGTTTGCATTTTTATGACGTTTGTCTTATTAATTAAACACAAAATCCCATTTGACTGAAGTGGAATATTTTAACGTCTTCATAGTAGCAGCATTATCTACCTGCTTGCTTCATGTCTCCGATGCGGATGATGTGCGGCCAGTGCTGCAGGGTTTTAGCAAAGAAGGGATTGGTCACACCCAGAATGACTGAGGGCCTGTAGAAAGAGACAGATCACACTTATTAACTTAAAGGTAAATACTTACAAATCTCTATACACAGTTGCAGGAACAAGGAGCCAGATTCACACTGCAAACCTCCTGAAATTTAATTCCTACCACCTTAAACCTTTAGGGTGAGCTAAAAAAAGTCAGCTTCAAAATAAATTGAAGGTACACAGGTGTGTTCAGAACAACTTCAGGAGGAAAGTCAACTACGAGCCCCAGAAAGCATTTCTTTAGAAACATCTAAACAGAGAGCTTCATACACTGCAAACTGTGGCCAAACTGACAGCAGGGCCAAATCAACTTCTTAATAAAAATAAAAATGTAATTGTGAAATATTATTGATGTCTAAATTATATCTAACAGGAGCGTCCCCGTACCCTTGGGGTCAAACGCAACTCTCTACCAATCTTTCCTGTCTGCCTTTGTGTCAGTTATCAATATGCTGTATTGACATGTGATCTAACAGGATACGCCACTGTACAATTTTCCAGCACTGATGAAAGTCAACACGCTAGAAAATCAGCATTTTTACCACATTCTCTCCCTAATCCGAGTTAAACCCGGTTCACACTGCCTGCTTCTGCAGTGCGTGGCCGTACGTCTCGCTTTTTATTTCGGCGCCCATGTCAACAGGTCAGAGCAGCCGCGCTGTCTGTGTCATCCGTTTTTTTTCCGCAAACCACGAGCGATTCCCAGCAAAAAACAGACCGTCTGTGATAGTCTGTGCTACAGGTGTCAAATTACACAACTTTACACCACACAGCCAGTGTGTGACGCACCTAAGTTATGTTGAACCTCTCAGGATGAGACTTACAATAAGCTCTTCTCAGACTTACAAAAGGTCACTGGTTAAAATCTGTTACTCACGGAGCCTGCGTCCTGGTGGTGTACTCCTTAAACTCGCTGTCGTGGATGGTGAAGTACGGCCGGAAGTCGCTGCAGTAACGCAGAGGAGAGATACAGCTGCAGAGAGAGACAAACAGAGAAATATCTTAATGTTTGAAAGCCAGACGAGAGGTTTCAGTGGCAGCTGCAGCTTAACTTAACACAACTAATGACATAAGAAAGGAAAAATTCAAATGAAAATTACGAGCACAGACCACAATGCTTTCAAAACCTTTAAAAACAGATTTTAAGGTGTGAAATACTACATTAAACTGTATTGATGACATAAAAAAAACATATTTTTAGACATTTTACATCTTTTCATGGACTTAAAGACTTCAGAAAACACACTGAACTGGATTTGAAATTTAACTTGAAATTGGCTGTTGCCTGCACGCTGACCGGCCCTTACCCCTCTCTCCAACTCACCTGACCAACGCCAGCACGGTGTCCGACGACTCCGCTGGCGATGGCGCCATGACGACGAGTGCCTCCCCCAGCAACACCAATTCCCACAGCATCTGGATGTGGAAGAAGACCGGGTAGAAACACCTGGAGAGAGAGAAAGAATGTGTGTGAAGTAAAGGTTTATTATAGTGACATTACCAGCAAGGTTACTTTTATATAGTTCACCTGCTTCTCGAGTTGATTTTCACAAAATATTGAAATTACCTGAAACAACTCAAAACAGTCCACAACACTGTTGTATGCTTTGGAAAATTATTGGCTGTGATGTTAAAATTTTTAGGAATAAATCATGGAAAAAACCTGATTTGGTCTTTTAAGGAAATTAAGACAGATGGGGATTATTGGTGGACTATAGTGATTATTCCCACAAATTTAACTGTCAGAACAATGCATGTTTAAAATGCATTTTCTGTGCTTTGCTGAATATTTATTTTGTGCGGAAGAACATTTGTAGGCATGTAGAGTTCACATTTTGCACAAAGTAAGTGATTTTGTTTCGATATATTGCTTTGTTTATACATTTATATCGGTTACATTTAGTTTTATTCCCTTCATTCATTTCAGTTCTTCCTTGAGAAACAGCTGAAATAAACAAATGAACCTAAATGTGAGCTGGAGGTGGTTTTTTGTTCTTTTTTGACCTGAATTCAGAACACGCAAATAAACACAACAGGGCGAAACAGACCTTTTAGTAATTACCATGACTATTCATGCTGGTCACCCTGACCCTGTGGGTGAGTTCTGTAAATAAGGGCACTAACTTTACAAGTGAGTTATCTAGTTATAGAAACACAAACTGAATATTGCCATCAAGGAAAGATCAGTCTTTATTTTGTCCAACAAAAAAATATTTCTGGCAGGTACTCTTTAGGAAAAAAGGTGGTTTTGTTCACCGGGTGTCAAAAGGTAAAACAGAGCTGTCTGAGGAAAACTGCTGCAGTACCACCACGAACAGCAGGTGGTGACAGTGAGTGTGATACAAGCATGTGTGTTGTGGAGAAGTAAAACACTGTGATCTGCAGGTCTCACCTGAAGAGGTCGACTTCATGGATGGTTGGGAGCACGATGGACACCTGACTGTCACTCTGAAAAACAGACATACCCTCCTTTAGCTGAAATAATCATAAAATCACCAATACAAAAGATCAGATGTTTTTAATGTGTGTGTGAGATTACCTGTGCAGACTGGACCAGCTGCGAGGTTCCTGGTTTGTCGTAACAGGTTGGGATGCGAACCTGCAGCGACACACAGATTCAACACAGTCACAGTTTGAACACTCACCAGAAACCTATTTAAAAACAGAATATTAAGCCCAGTCCACACTGTCTGTATCTGCAGTGCGTGGTGGAAAGTCTTGTTTTTTATTTTGCGGTACATCTCAGCTGTAACTGTAGTGAGAGTCGAGGTCTCGCCTATATTTTTACGTGAGCTGCACGGGATTCCCAGTGAAAAGGGTCTGTTCGTAGTCATATCGACATTATACCAGCAACATATACACCTTTCACTACAGTTTCAGTGTCTATATCTGAAGAATATGTGAGACATGGAAAAAATATAAATATATTTGAACTCAATAACTCCACAACTTCTGGTTCTGTTTGAGATTAAAAGCTCTCTTCCCGTTTCTGTGGACAGAATCTATTCATGTGTTAGCAGGGCTTTTATTGTACTGCATTTATCAAAGGCAGACTCAGTATAGAAAGATAGGGCTGGCAGCAGCAGCTCCGCAGCTACACTGCTTCTGCGTGCTTTAATCAATGATCGGATGATAGCGTGCACGTCATAATTTGTCCAGATTACTTTTAGCGTAATTTGTGTTTTGGGTGTTATATTACTTGTTTATGCTCCAAAATATGATTCAATGTAGTGGACAGTACATTGTACTATAATGTGGGAGCCTCTGGTTGTTTGTTGTGTTGTGTGCCATGTTTTCCTCGAGTGGGGGGAGGTTGTGGAAGAGTTGTCAGGAGAGGCCACACTGAGAACACACATGGCACATGCAGAACTAAAGTCTGCAATGTATCTTTAAAAAGAAACAACAGATTTTTCTCATAAAGGATATTTTGACTTATCAAACACGCGTGTAACTAATTACATTGATATTGGCTGAATCCCATTACAGTTGTACCAGCTGCAGGAACCCTGCTGAGTGCATGAGCCTTCATCAATGTTATCAGTTGCACCTGTGCTTTTACCTGCTGTGACAAGTCAAAATGACACGTCTCTACTCATTGAGTGTGTGTGTGTGTGTGTGTGTGTGTGTGTGTGTGTGTGTGTGTGTGTGTGTGTGTGTGTGTGTGTTTGTACCTTAATGACCACGCCCATAATAGGCAGCGTGAGGATTCGTCCAGGATGGGGCGTCGGCCAGCGGTCTATGTCATTACAAGCTGTAAATCAAATACACAGAACAACAACGATCTGGATCAGAATCCATTTTATAACGATCGAAACCTTCATCCTGAAGCTAAACAGAGCTTCACTGAGCACAAGTCGGTGAATAAAGTTTATCTACATTCAGCTGTTTGTTTATTAGGTGTCTAACACAACTGCCCTGCAATAAATCCTACTTTCGTGAAGTTATAATGTTTATTTAACCTGGACAATACAGAATAGAGAGCTGTTGATCACTTCTCTGAACTGTGGTTTACAAAAAAATAGACTTTCCTCCAGTGGTACTGTGTCTCCCCTCAAAGACAGATGGTTTTATTTGTCCAGGTTTTTCAGAAATCTGTCTCTGAGATTCTGCCTCTACCCAAATACAATGGAGGTGAATTGAACTTTGTTTGTGCCGCTCACAGTGGTAAAAACATTACTGGAAAACCCCAATAACAATACTTCTTCTCAGAAATAATGTCCTTGTAACAGATAATGCCAGACAAACACAGGGACTATTTCTTTAGTAGAAAGTAGTTCCAATGAAAACTCTCCACAGTGTGTTTTGGGGATTATCTGGAGTTACAGGGACAAAAAAAAGCTAATTTTCAAGGCTATGAACGCCATAACATAAATTCCTTTCACCTCTATTTTAGTAGGGTGGAGGCAGATTTCTCAAAACCTGGACAGACAAGAGCGAAAGCGTCTGTATGGATAGATAACACCAGAGGGAAATAAATAAGAAAATATATGTTTTGTAATTTGGGCAAACGGGCTTCTGTGAGACTCGAGACAAAAAAAAACAAAAGCACAATCACTTTATTTGAACAGCCACAAGTCTGACGACCTGAGGCCCCTGCCAGTGGTCAAAGGGCACGTCATTTCCTTTATAAAGTGGCCCGAGTATGTGATTCCTTGTGTGTCAAAATATAAAAAGCCAGTGTAGTGAGACTAAAACTGGTGTAAAGTGTGACCTGAGGCTTGTTACAATAATTTTCTGCAAACCTCTGGACCATCTGGAGTCGAGACACGACACACACAGTCTCTCGTTATGAGCGTCTGCATTTCAAAATATATACACATATAAAGCAGACAGACAGACAGACAGACAGACAGACAGGTAATCAGACTGACCAGCCTCCAGACAGGGCTCCTGTTTCTCAAAGTATTCTGGAGCCATGATCTTCAACAGGGAGTGGAAGAAGGTCACATAGGGCAGCTTACTGATCAGGACCAGAGACTGGTAGAGAAAGACAGAGAGAATTTATATTCACACATTTTTAATACTTTCATTTAATATCAGTGTTTCCTGTTAACCCTGCATCCACTGAACCTTTCTGTTGATCTGTTATCTATTAACAGTTTAAACGTTGTATTTTGTCAGGAATATAGTGCATTCTGGGTGATTATGTTATTTCATTATTTATTAATCTGTCAATTACTTTATCTAATTAATTATTTAGTCTGTAAGATGTGAGAAAGATATGCAGTTTATTATATTATATAAACTTTTATTATATAAAACAGAGAAATAAAATAAAACCTCATATTTAAGAAGCAGAAACCAGAGAATTTGGCCTTTTTATCCGATAAATAAAAATTAAGTAAAAATTAAGTTAAATAACTTTACAAAATCTTTATATATTATACTTTTTAACACATTGGTGACTGACTGATTTATAAGTGTTAGTCTACACTGATTGTTCTACGTGAGTTTTTGGTGCGTTGAAGGCGAACCGCAGTGACACTGACCTTCTGGAAGTATCCTCTCTTCAGGGATTTGTCTCGCACCTGACGGAAGTACACGTAACCATAGTAATGGCCCTGTTCCCTCTGCACACACACACACAGACACACACACACACACACACACACACACACACACACACACACACACACACACACACAGACACACAGACACACACACACACACACACACACACACACACACACACACACACACACACACACACACACACACACACAGATTTGAGTTAAATATCAGTAAACCAGACGATTCGGAAATATAAATGACTGCATGTTTAGATACATGTGTCTGTAGTTCTGTGTGTGCGTGCGTGCGTGTGTGTGTGTGTGTGTGTGCGCGTGTGTGTGCGTGTGTGCGTGTCCCAACCTTCAGACAGGGCGGTGCGTCCCTGTCAGTGGTTTCCAGGAAGCAGCCGAGCGACGACTTCCTGTTGGAACCCTGACGAAAGCGGAAGCAGAACTGGGTGTCGCCAAGGCAACCTGGAACCACAGCAGAGTGATGGTTTGGTTACTATGGGAACAAACCCACTGGTTTACAAACTCTTTCTCTATGACATCATGTTTATACTTTGCATATATCTTAATATTTAAAAAAAAAAAAAAGAGTTATTAATCTGAGCCTGCACACATTTTATAGTTTCTCTATTTATTTTTGTTTGTGTTAAACAAACTTAATAAACTTCCATTTGCTAAATTCAGATGTTTTCCTGACTCTGATTATTCTAGCTTTGTGTGTCTGGCGTTGAGAGGAGGAAAGCATTAAATCACATAACTATAAAAGTGTAAAAGGTGACACAATAAAGAGACTTATTTCCATTGTGGTCCTTATAAAATAATTAATTTAAATCACTGTTTAGCACAAGCAGATTCCAGTTTAATTCACTTATAATAAAAACAATAGGCCTTTTTTCACAGCAGCCATTTTGACATAGTTAAATATGAAGCATACCACTTCACCTCGGTGGGACCCAAAAACATGGTAGACAACCCGTAATAAATGAGGAACATTTACGTAGAAGTTTTCATAATCTAAACTTTTATAATGTTTTACAAACTTTTTATTATAAGCTAACCTTTTCTTACAACCGTCTGACCACCACTAAAACTTCTACTACTGACTCAGTCCGAGCTAATCTGGTTAAAAGTTCAACTGTAGAAAATGTGATTTCACTGGATGTATTTGTAGTTGTAGTGTAAGTCAGAGAAAACTGTTGTGAGAACTGATATTTTGCTTTGATTTGAGATGTATTTTCTGTTGTGTCAATGTGGACCAGTCGGCACTTCAGTGTGTCTTCCTGGTTTCCTCCTGATTTTAGGACAAACAGGAAGAGGAAGCAGGAAAAAAAAGAGGAAATAGGGAGTGCACGATGAGTCACCAACTGCCCTTTAAACCCAACATGACCTCCGCACATCCTCCAGCAGACACGGCAGAACGTGAGTAACAAAAAAAAGAGAAAGAATATGATAATAAGAGTTTAAGAGATTCCAAATAAAAAGCGCACACGCACACACACACACACACACACACACACACACACACACACACACACACACACACACACACAGAGCTCAGCCAAGACTCCATGACTTCATGCAGTTGGGTTGTGTTTAAGACCACCCAGTGTGAAACGGGCCATCAGCAGCTGAACCACAGCTCTGAGTCTCAGTCTGGATGGATTTAACAGGCTCCATATTCTCTTCATTTACTTGTTTATTTCTATTGACCTTAATCAGAGTGTGTGACACACTTTCTCAACCTGTGACCAGCACTGTCGGTAACACTGAGGACCTCGATAGCAAAACGGAAGTGAAGAAGAAATCGCAGTCAGAAGAATTAACTTCATCATCACAGACAGAAACGTCAGAAGTTTGGAAGAACTGTGGTTTTATGTTTATACATCACAAGATGTTTGATGTGTTGATGTTGTGGCTGAGAAAGGATGTAAAATTAATCTTACAATATTCATGATCATGAATTTATCATTTTGATTCAGACAAATGTTTGATAAAATGATAAAGTGGCCTAAAAAATTTAACCAAAAAAACAAATTAAAGATGTTCAGTAGACTATCATATGAGACAAATGTTCACAACTCAGAAGCTGAAACCAGAAAATGTTTGCAGGAAAAAGAAAAATGGTTAAGTAATCAAAATTGTTACCAACTCATTTAGGAAATTATACTTTTTTATGGAAAAAACATAGTTTAAAGCAGACTATTTGTATTTAATGTCTTAATACATGTCTGGAGGGTATCTACTTTACAAAAGAAATTCTAATTATGTTGCTATTTGGTCCTATTCCTACTTCTAACACAGGTACCACAAGAGGTGGACAGTAAACGGTATAAATGGTACAGCAAGTACACCAGGATGAATTTACCCTACTGGATGAATCAGACTGTACCGTGCTGACCGGTAGAGCCCGCCTCAACACAACAAAGAGGATTTGGTAAAAAAAAAAAAAAGACCAATGCAGCTTCCATTAGTGTTGTGCAAGTTTACGCTCACAAGAGTAACCACTGAGTTTGAGAGAGAGAGAGAGCTGTAGATGTAGTGTAATGTCTCTCTCTCTCGCTCTCTCTCTCTGACACACACCTACAGTATATATAAACTAGCCCTGTAAGCATTTTGTCCTAATCCTGTCGTCATCCCGAGGGCAGCAGGTTTGTCAGCTCTGCTGACTCACAGTCAACAAAAAACACACACCTGCAGACACACACACACACACACACACACACACACACACACACACACACACACACACACACAACTTCACAGAGGTGTGTGTGCACATGTGCGTGTATACCAGTCCCTACCCCACATTATCTTCAATGAATCAATCAAACTTTATTTGTATGGCACATTTCATACAGTTTGGTGCAGTTCAGAGAGCTTTGGAGAGTCTAGTGTTACACCAATGAATGTATCTATGTTTGTGTTTCTCTTTTTACAACATTTAACAAAATGTTCCCTGACTGCAGCTGCATCGCAAAACATTCAACATATATGTGAAACCACAGCTTCCAGGTTATGCTCCACATAATCTCATTCAGAATAACAATGACATTTGTAAGATTATTAAATATAATCTTGGTTCGTGGTATTGAGTGCCTGGAGTGCGAGAGTAAATTTTAAAATATGTAAAGTTTCTCTCTTTATCTGCCTGACACTATTGGCCACAAGCCCAAGACCATCAAGGGTCAAAGGTCACCAGCATGTTAAGTCTGATACCAAAATTCTGCATACCACAATTTTTGTCCACTTTACACATTGAAAGCTCTCTAAAACTACAATATTTACCTTTTCTATGTTAAATAGAGTGCAACACCTTTACGTCTTTAATGTGAGACTGAGAGAAGGGCTCATTAACACCATTATCATATAAATAATGTTAACGATGCACTCTTTCAGTGTCTCCTCAGTGGATCTTGTTCCTCTCTATTACAGCAAACGTTTTCACCTTTGTGTGGATAATCAAACCAGGAAGAAACACGTTTGCTTCCAGGCGACACATCATACGAATGAGTCTATTTGAAGTTTAACATAACGGCCCTGCAATAAGGTGTTGATTTAACTTTATGTCATTTTGGAGGCTGTAGTTTCTGGTGCTATTTAACTGAGTTTAACTGACTGACTGTGTGGAGGTGAGAAAGTAAGAATGGTTGTTCTAGAAGATCTCTTGTTTTCCTTCTTTAACCAATTATTCCTGCACACAACCAACTGCAACACTATGAATTTTCCAGGAGAGAGTCTGAGTTCCCCCCCCTCTATCACAGCAGGCTATTCCCTCAACCTTCAAGTCCAACCACTCTGAAGAGCTAGAACACTTTTGGACAACACGACGTAGAAACCAGCTCTTTTCTAGCATAACCCGGCCCATAATCCGATCACCATAAAATTAAGTCTCCACAGTGGTCTGAGACATCAGACAGTTTAAAAGCAGGAAACAGAAACTCACCTGAGTTGGAGTCGGGAAAGGAAAGGTAGCAGATGCTGGTTTTCTGGAAGAAAATAGAGATTCTGTTTGTTTCTGTCCTCTTTATTATGTCATCTCATGTCAACACACAACAGATAGTTAACAGCAGGAGGTCAATAAATTATCCATAGGATGAAAAATAATCAGATAATCAATAACAGAAAGAAGACCCAGTCAGCCTGACTCACCTCTTTCTCTGACAGTTTGGAATGATGCGGATAAATAACCTGAAACACACATAGAAAGAGTTACTACACAGCAGGAGATCGACCCGACAACTGTTCAGCTTCAGTACAACACGACATCAGGACTTCTTCAGACTTTAATCTTTAATCTTTACCAACATTTCTCTCCAATGTCACTGGGTCCATTACGCTCTCTGACTGTTCTCTGCCTGCCATTTTACAACAATTGATTTGGTTAAGAGTTAGCAGGCTCCATATTACAATATGTAAGGATATATTAGATATTCTATAAAGAATATATAAGAATAAACAAGTGATTTGTTCAAACTTGTTCCTGAACTGACCACGTTTCCAGTCAAACAGATTCAAATAGATGTATTTTGTGATCTAAATTGGCCTAAACAAAATAAAAAAACCTTCTGTGTTCATAAGAGAAAGTGAAATAGAAAGTAAGACTGACCTCAGATCAGTGTACAGCACCTTATTAACACACGCAGTGTTTATTCGAAATGTGTTATCAGCTTATTGATCTATCTATCTTTCTCCTGAAGGGACCCGTTTTCTATCATTTAGTAAACCGACGAGCACGGCTTAAGAGACATATTTAAAGGATATTTTATATTTTATTCAAAACAATGAAACCAAGAAGTTTGTGTAAAACAAGTAATCTGGATGAATTTTGAGCAGATTTATTCTGTTTAGGAAACTTAATTATCTGTCTGTATTATACATATTTATTTAAAAATCATTTTTAATAATCATACAAACTCACTAGGCTTTTTTTTTGTTATCTTGTCCCAGACATTTATTATCTATTAGACAATTAACTTTACCACTGTGTATATTTTATTAAGTTTTCTAGCACACCTCAAAATCAAGAAGGCTTCATGACCCCTTATGAAGCTTTGGCGACCCCCAGTGAGGGTCCCGACCCCCAGGTTGGGACCCATTGGACTAAAGGGTGAGACAACTATATAATTATACATTCTGAGTATTCAGCGTATTCCTGCTGTGTACAGTGTGCAGGTACACAGAGTCAGGTTGGGTTTACCCACCTCTAAATCCCCTCTGATGATCATTCAGGGTTTTGTTTTCCTAGGACGGCAACGGTATGACATAGTTGTCCAGTTTGAAAGAATAAGGAATAATTTAAATACTCATAATGCATAATGATGTTAGTTGTCTCGCCCTAAAGTCTGCAGGCTGCAGTATTGATTGATCTGCTCCTCTTCTGTTCGTTTAATAATGATCCTTACTGCCTGAAGTCAAGCAGCAGAAGTTTAAATACAACTGGCCTATTTTTGGGGTGAACTAAATATAAACCTCTTACAAGTCTTTGTGTACACAGGATGTTTATCCTTTGCTTCTCCAGGTCTGGCTACGATAAACAGCATCAGGTAACACACTTGTTATCCTCCAGCACAACTAATATTCTCCTGTTTATACCAGAACTTGGATGTAAACATGTCAGTACTGGAAAACTAAACAAAGAGCCAAACACACAGCTCAACGGAGAGGTCTGTGTGCTCCCGTCCAGGAAATAGTCTGAGCCTTTCAGAACTGCTAACTTAGGCAGTTTTTGAGCTCCAGTGTAGAGAAGTTGAACATGAACCCCCCCGACCCCCCGCCAGCCCTCACCTCCACCGCCTGTCCCAGCTCCAGGTCGAAGCCCACCACGCAGATGCAGTGCAGCCAGGCGGAGAAGCGGTCCCAGGGCAGCAGGAGAGCCTCCTCCGGCTCCTCGTCGCCTCCAGGCCCGGGGGGAAGAGTTATCTCCTCGGCCGGAGAGATGCTACTAGCGTCCTGGTCGTCCAGATCCTCCGGCTCTTCGACCTGCTCCCCGAGCTCCTCCGGGCCTTGCAGAGCCATGGCGACGGCCCGACACGGTCACTCAGGCGCTCCGGAGAATGTTAACGGGTTTGTAAATAAGTTAACTAAGTTAGTAAGTGTCCCTCAGGTCACAACAACAACAACAACAACAACAACAGGAGGCGAGCAGGCGGGTGCAGAAAAGTAGCCTCTTGAGCTAGCACAGCGTAGCATAGCACAGCAGAGCGTACGTACGACGCGGTGACGAAACGTGGAACGTCATCACGTAAGGTCGTCCCTGCCACCGCGTTGTATTCACGTCCTCACAGGGCTCCGTAAAGCAGAATGTGGGAGACCGATTTGTCCAATAATATGTAAAAAACGAAAGAGTTAGACATTATAAAATTAAAAATATAGTCGTGGTGAGTAAAACATGTGAGGTGCTAAAACCAAATGTTACAATTTATACAATTTACAGGCAGAATTATAAGTTTCAAGCCAATGTCTTACTTTTTAATTCAACAAAAGCAGGTTTCAAATATGTATTTTTTTAAGTCAAAACTATGAATTAGTGAATCAAAAAGTTTCACTTGCTCACTTAATGTCTAATTTCTACTTTTTTTTAAACGCCCAGTGTATAACAATTAGGAGGAATCTAATAGTCATTGGTTCATTAGTGTATAATCACCTGAATATAAGAATATTTGTGTTTTTGTTACCTTAGAATGAGCTGTTTTTATCTACAGATGCTGCGGGTCGCCTTTCACTCCACACCATAATTTTCTCTACACACTTTACAGCCTGTTGTCATTCCCAGCTCATCAAATACACGTCAGTACGGTGTTCAGTTTGTCGCAATCTGAAACTTCACTGCTAGATATCACTAAATCCCGCACACTGGTCCTTTAATCAAACTTGTACCTATATGGATGGCCTTTGTTGAAGCTCAAACTGCTGAAAAAGCCAGTGACATGCAGTTGAAAGCACTGGGAATAGCTAGTAAGTGAACCTTCAACATTAGATTATAACTAGAATTGATGTAAAAGTGTTAGACTTTTACTGACAAATGTGCTGCACGACCGCTTTTTAAGCTCCAGTGCGTAAGAGTTAGTGGTATCTAATACAGCTCAGCCTTCCAAATGTGCAGGAGAAACTACGGTGGACTTGAAACGTGTAAGACCCGGTCGGTTCAAAATGAACTGCCCCCTCGCCTGGAAAGTGGACGAGTGCAGGCGGCGGCAGCAGCAGGAGGTGGTGACAAAAAGCTGCAGTCAAGTGACAGTTTACAGCAGCATTCCAAGAATAAACAGGAAGTCTCAAAATGTTTGCATCCTGTTAGATCATCTTTAAGCTATGTGTGTTTTGCCGACCACGTTTGGATAAATAGACTTTGTTATTATTATGAACCGCACAAAATAAGGTCTGTTAACAGATTAAACCTTCATTGCACAACATGAGACATTAAACAGCCAACAATCTGGAGTTAAATGTTGTCTGCTTCTGTTCAAGTGTAACAAAAACAATTCTTCTTTTCAGGTGATTAAACACAATATTAATATTATAGTCACACACTAGATTCTCCTAAATGTTACACACTGGACCTTTAAGTAATGTTGTAATTTTAAAATCTGTATTTATTGCAAAGTTGGCTACCCAGTGTTTTATTATATTCAACATTGGCACCTGTTCTGCTGGATTTGCATTCTTCCCCCTCACACAGAGGGCAACTCACATCATTGAATGAATTACTTCTTCAATTACTGCCCGACTCTCACGAACGAGGCAGTAAATCAGCTTTATCTAAATCCTTTAATGGCTCCATCACTGAGCAAGCAGATGGATGAAACAGAGTGGGGGTGCTCGCAGAGGGAAGGGGTACATCCTCTGCTAACCCAAGTTGTGACACAAATCCACCTTAATATAGGTAAGGAGATAGAAGAAAGAACAACAACAAAAAATCTGATTTATTTACAGAAATTTTACTTTTTGCCAAATTAGTAAAACTGTCTTATAACTATAGTAAATATAACTCTTCATATTATCTATATTATCTATAACATACATTTTTTATCAAACATACATTACATTATCTTTTAAATGTGTGCATATACCAATACAAATCAAATAAATAAAGTACAAACATCTATAAACAAATGAATTATAGAAAGTTTTACAATAAATATGTCACATTAAAGTCCATATAAGTTTAGATCACATGTCTTTATCAGCTGGAGTTTGTAAATGTTCAAGTTTTATTTATTTTTTGTTTGCAGTTTAAGGCAAGCAAAACACTTTTAAAACATTTAATTTAAATAAAATGCAACATTCAATGTAACACAATTCCTAACTGAATGATTATAACTTTAAATGTAAAATATATTATTGCTGAATCAACAAAAGTAATAATAACACACTAAAAAGCAATGTTACAAAGTGCTTCACATGAAGCTGAAGCAGATTATTAAACAACAAGAGTGAGATTAGCAAACATACAACAAAGCACATCGTAAGTTTGTAATGCAGCTTAACTTTTAGTGATGAGCTTGTTATGGACACACAGCGTCTCTATAACTGGACACTGTGAAGTCAAACTGGGCTAAGAAGCTAAACACAGTAAGATGCTGTTAAATCTCAAATAATAGTCTGACTGTTATCACAGTGACAGCTGGTCCTCTGCTCACTCTGCGGGAGGGTTGGGCAGGGCTGCAGGGAGGACCGGCATCTATACCATGACCTTGACCAAGACCTGGACCTGGACCTGTGACCAAGACCTGAACCAAGACCAGGACCAAGACCAGGTAAAAGACTTGTGATCTTGACACGAAGACAACCAACAAACATTCTGAGGCTGTGAAGGTCTGGTTCACTGGTTGATCGTGACTGTGTTGGATGTTTAGGTGTTATCGTGTCCTTCACTCTGATATATTTGGAACTGATAATCAGTCTGATCCTGAACTGAACCCACGTCGGCCCTCAGGCCTCTCACACCTGCCAAGACCACCACAGGAACTACATGCTCCTATATGTACAACCTTAGAGGTTAAAGGAACTGGTTGTATTACACCAAACATCGGCAAATAAAAGGGAGAAAGAGAAGAAAAAGGAATATAGTAGAAGAGAAGGAGGGTTTAAAGGAATAGTTTGACAGTTTTATAAAAGTTGGTGTATTGGTTTTTCTTGGATATCACTCTCCTGTGTAAATATGAAGCTAGGCAGCGTCCAGAAAGACTCTTCTCTACTCATTCTTGGCAAGAAAGCCAACATACCAAAACATCTGTATGTTTTCTTAAGATCTGGATGACTAATTGCTCTACTCTATTTAATAAATAATCCAGATGTGTCTTATATTTTAAAAATATTAGTTCACAAAAAAGAACACTGAACACAATTTGGACCCATAATTATACAAGTCTTAAAAAAGTTGTGTAAGTGTAAATACTCTTATCTGATACTCTTATTAGCAATATTCATCTCATCTCTATAAAGACACCTGTGTTTTAACATGAATGGTAAAAGCACTAAGCTTTGCAGCAGGTCGAGTCTCAGCCAAGAAACCAATTCAATCTGCTATTGCAACCAACTGAATCTTAAAACTCCATTTGTGAATTGTGAAGCTGAATGTCTCTCTCTCTCTCTCTCTCTCTCTCAAACCTGCAATCGCTAAAACAATTAATTATGAATGTGTTTCTGTATATTTCCTGTTAAAAGATGACTGAATTAAACCAACATGAGAAGCAGTGATGCATTTGTGGTGTTTTATCCTCACGTACTTCACTGCTCTACTGTCTCATCCAGCATTGATTTGGTCTCAGCTGTCGGTTCACCAGAACACAGCAGGGACATTTCTGGAGCCATAAGCAGAATTTGATCTCCTCCCATGTCGCCCCGCCCCACCCCACCCTGCTGCCCCAGTCCATAAATCAAGTCACCTGGATAAAACCTTATGATGGAACTATAAAATATTGTTTTGTAGGTGATACTCTAAAGTTAGGGATAGGGTATATAGTCTGCAGAGAGGAACCGTAACACAACAGGTGTTTAAAAAGAGAGAAAAACAGTTTAAAGGTACATTCCCTGGTTGTTGAAGCAACTAATGGAGCCACGACTGCTCTCATGCCCTTTTTTTTTAAAGCCCAACTATAATCAAAATCCTAGAATTGTGACATCGCAATGGGAAACGCCTATATTATGTTCTTGTTTGTTGTTGTTTTTTTACTCCTTTGACTCAGGTTTAAATACAGGAGTATTAAAATAAATAGTTTTTTTCCCTATGATTGTATAGTTAACTTTTATTTTGAAAAATCATATGTAAACACATCTATATGGTTTAGATATAGTAGTAGTAATATTGGCATAGCTCTGAGAAAAGTTAAATTGTTGTTTATTTTTCTGTTAATAAAGTAGATATATTGATATATTGTTCATAATAAAAGCCTGTGATTAAATAGTGAGCATTTTTCATATTGTTGACATCAAAATCAGTGATATTATCAGTTAATAAAGTAGATATATTGTATAATACGTTAAAACATCACTTCCATATCAGAAACTGAAAAAGCCATACATACTGTGGTAATGTTATAAACGTCAAAAAATATAGCTAGTTACTTTTATAAATTTGACTTCAAAAATCATGATTTAGAAAGTTCAAATGACTCATAACCTCAAATATATATATATATATTTTAATACCATGTCTAACTTTTAACCCGTTTCTCTTTCCCTGTCATAAAATATGCTTCCCCAGAATCAACTCAACCTCTAATTAACGCGAATCCAGAATGAAGACGACGTTGTTTTCCTCTCTCTGACTCTCTCTGAGGAGTTGCAGAGAGTCGGTCAGTGAACGCACCGCGCCCGTCCGCTCTCCAGTTACAGTATGGCGGCCGGGACTCGCGGAGGAGGACAACTTCTTCTAGATCCCTTCCAGAAAACTGCGGGACGGCGGCGGCTCTAACTCACACCCGCCCCGGCGAACCGGACCCGGACTGAGAGACACGACGACCGCGCAACTTGTGTCTTATCCTCCCCCTGTCTTTCCCCTGGGAGACACTCGGGGCTGGTGTGATGCGTGAAGACCCGCAGTCTACAAACTCTCCCGATTTTTTTTTTTTTTTTTCCGCCGTTGACTGTCAGTTAGCCGGCTAGCTGCTACTAACCGCTAGCTCATGCTAACGTTCGCTTGCGGGGATCCGTAGCAGCCAAAAGACGGGGCTAGCTCGCTGCTTTTATTTGCCCCCCCCACCTCCACCTCCTCCTCCTCCTCCTTCCTCCTCTCACTCCTCCCTCCCTCCCCGAGGAGACAGGGATGGCATTCCGCCTCCACTCGGTAAGCGAACTGGTTGAGAGGGGTGGGGAGAAAACGTTTAAGGACCTCGGTGATAAGTTTGTGAGCACTCGTTAGCCTAGCCTAGCCTAGCCTAGCCTAGCCTAGCTTTGCTGGTACAACGCCAGGAAACGTTGGTCTCTCCGCTAGCGAGCTAGCCAATTAGCATTTTAGTTGCACAAGGAGACCTGCTAATCCCCCGCTCATCCCGGCGGAGTGTTTTTTTTTTTTATTTAAAACCCCCTCCGCACTAATTCAGACGAGGAGTGGAGACTGGGCTGCTTCAGCTGAAACCTCAACCGACTCTTAACTCAGGGGCGTTCAGGCTCGCTGTAGGTGTCGTTCGCGGTCTTGTAGGTGTTCTCTGGAGGGAGTGGTGGCGTTAGGTAGCTAGCTAAGGCTCCCTGTATCAGGGCAACAATGTCACTCAGATTATGACAAGGCGGTAAATGGCGAATAAATACAGCGGGTGACACATTTAACATTTACTCAAACGCTGCTGCAAGGAAGGGCATCTCTAGAAAGCGCGCAATCATTTGTTTAACATTGGATGAGACAGTTTCCTGGATTGATAACTCGTTTTTTAATCAGTAGGCACAGTTATTGAAGTGAGCTGTTGGTATTGGTGGGTGGGTGGGTGGGTGGGGTTGGGGTGGGGGGGTTGAGTAAAGATCCAGTCTGTCTGTGGTGGCCTGTTTTCAGTGCTGGAGTAGTTTGATGGACGTGGGAGGCTGTTTGCCAGACTGTCAGAGCTATACTCAGTCATGTATGTCTTGACACATGGCACCTTGGTCTGTACATAGTGCCTGCTGTCAGATATAAGTGTCGTTATGTAGCTTTGGTGGACGGTCAGCGAAGGGGAATGTCTTGTCTTTTTTTATACCTGTTGGTTTGTTTTTTATTTTCGTTTTTTTCAAACACAGGAGAGTCTTGTTGAATCGAAGTGGGGAAGCGGTGCAGCCTGGGCTGTGTACAGTGGACAATGTTTATAAGTTTGTGCCTAGAAGCTTAGAGGACTTACAGTTTGGCCTACCTATTAGGCTACACACAGATATTGTAGTTTATTCATTAGGGAGTGAAACAGAAGCCTGCCACTCTGGATCAAGAAAACCTCTCCCTCGTGTCTGGTTGGAGTAACACTCTTAAGCCAAAATCAATGCCTTCAGCGCTGGCCGTGTTCGCCTGCCGACCCAACTCGCACCCATTCCAGGAGAGGCATGTATACCTGGATGAGCCAGTCAAGATCGGCAGGTCGGTGGCTCGGTGTCGGCCGGCCCAGAACAATGCCACCTTCGACTGCAAGGTGCTGTCCAGGAATCATGCCTTGGTCTGGTTCGACCACAAGACCGGCAAGGTAAGAAGTATTATAATGACTTCAGGATTTGACTTTCCTCCCAAGATTTTAGATTTGGTGTGAATCTTTTTCTGTCTTTTGATGAAAAATCACAATTGATTTGTTGAGAAGCATTCTCCAAATGTCTCCAGCAGGCGAGCCTCCATGTTTCACAGAGCGTATCTTCACAAATGGCCATCTCAAAATGATTCTCTGTCACATTTAAATCATCAGCCGTGCTTCCACAAACACACATGTACTTTTTTTTTTTTTTTCTGGAGAACACCCTGGAGGAGCGGAAACTGTACTCGGACTTGAACAGGTTCAGTTTGTTTTAGGGTGCTGCTCACAACAAGCATGTTTGGAGGGGAACTCTGGAGCGTTGCCTTCTGTAGACGTATCCAACTCTGTACTTGGAGAGTAATGCGTAATCTCAATTGAGCACAGGAAATGTTCCCAAAACTCAAGGGATTATGGGTAGAAAGACACAGATGCTGCTCCTCGTGCTAGGAAACATGAAATAAGCAGCAATGGATCAATTCTGCATTTTCAATCTGCAAATATATCTGTCCTCCTTGCAGACAGTGTTACTAAAAGTCTGTACATTTGATGAGCTACCCGTGAATCTTCTTTGCACAAACTGTACAGAGTCTGCAGTGTGAACATGAATTAACAAAATACAACAAATACTTGGCCCTTCTTAACCATGTCAAGGTAAACTAGAACTTTCTGTATCTGGAGCCTTTCAGGTCCGGTTGCAGTTACAATCCTGGCTGTTTTCTGTTTCCGCTCTTAACAACTGTGAAGGTTATGTATGTCGTGTTAATATGAGCTATTCCAAAAAAACAGAATGCATTGTTTCTCTTTTAGGGATATTTTCACAGATTTAATCACAGAGATCCAGTAACAATAGTACATTTTAAAGTTGTGTGAGCTTTTTATTTTGCTATTGGACATTTGTCTCAAATACAGGGCCTTTTTTATTGTAGTGTGCCTTGATTCAAAAGACATGTCGTCTTCAACTGCACCGTTTCATTTTACAAATAACTTGAAAACAATGTTTTTAGGAAAGATAAAGGCAAAAAGCTCACCCTAATTATCCTCACTGTCGTGTGATAAATCATGAATCCTGAAACATGAAATTTAAAACATATAAAACGGACAGAATTACATTTTAGAAGCTGGAACCGGTTAATGCTTGGTATTTTTGATTAGAAAATAACAAACTATTGTTTATATCTGCAGTAACTGTCTTCTTTTTATACAGTTTGTAGTAATTGTGAGTAAAAAGACTAACACCTCGCATTTGTTAACCCATATGAATAAATAGAATGAATAATAAAACAGGTGAGATAAACAGCACGCTGAGCTCATTTTCCGGACAGACAGATGGGTTTAAATTTAGTCCTGGACTAAACAGAATCCAATACAGACATACGCAGAGGAATGCCCTTAGTCCATTCTTGGATTAGATCCTTAATCCTTGTCTGCGAAACCAACCTGTGATTTCTTTAAAATCCACAGGTCTGAGATCTGAAGCAGATGGATCAAATCTGTGTGTTGTAGCATCTGTCGTTGTGTGGCCTCAGTGTGTCTGTAGTTTCTCTGTAGAACAGGTTGAACAGGCTGAGACAACCACGGGATTACCCAACTATGTGGCATGCAGGGACTTTGAAATACCCTGTGTGTGTGTGTGTTCATACAGCATAAGCTATTTATAATGACACCAGTAGCGTCATCCTTTCCTCTCTTCAGGGATAAAACGCACACATGGATTGACCGACATATACACACTAATACTGATTTATTGGCAGTTATTATTTCCCCAGTATACCCAATATTGGATTGGATTAAACAGAAGAATGATCAGTTGTTTTGTTTTTATCACCAGAGTCCTTTTTTGGCTCTGAGAATGGCTGTGCTGCTTCTTTGTTGAGCTGATAAACAGAGCCAGTTGACTCTTAATATAATGAACCTAGTCACTGACTGGCTCTAAATAATTTGCAGTACTGAAGCAGCCCAATCATATAAGAAAGACTTCTAGTGTTGAATGAATATATGAAAGGCACTCTAATGGCCCAAATGCAAGAAGACCCTCTTTTGGATAAAGGTTTTTGTTCAAGATGTGAAACACTTTAGAAGATGGGCAAATAGACCATATTTAATGTCTTTTAAATTAATTGTCACATATAAATAAAGGTGCAGTAAATCTGGGTGCCCTGTGACTGAACGACCCCAACCATGAACCTCAACATGGTTCACGTCCAGCTGGAGAGCTTTGTTGAATCATTGCCCGTCTCTCCCCTTTCATCTCCTGTCATCATACTGTCAGCTATGTAATATAGGCCTACAGTCCCCCCAATAATAATGTCAAGATACAGTTAATCAATAAAAATAACAAAACAACAAAATAGTAAAAACACATTTTTAAATTTGAGTTAAAAAATATATATAAAATGTATGATATGGAAATATGAAATTAGGAGAGACCTGCAAGATTGTATAAATGCTGGTTCTCACATTGCACCTGTGCTCCATTTATATACAACATGCTGGAGAGTCCTTTCGCTGAAGACTTAAGCAGACAGCTAAACAATGAGCTGAAACTCATTATAAAGCATCGTAAAGCCGAGCAGGGCTGCAGATTGAGGTGATAATTCTCTGCAGGTTCATCACTACGAACCCCCTTTTTAAATTGTCATACTGTTTCACATTGTCACTCGATACATGCTATTGGAAAAATATCAGTTATAGCCACTCTAATATAGTAACATTATGCTTCTCAATGTTTTTGTTGCTGCAACAATGCCCTGTTTTTATTTTGGATATTTTAGCATCACATTGTAGGACAATAATGTCCATCGATAGTCCACTGGAATACACATGCTGTCATTGTTAAGTTCAACTAATACATTGACTTCTTGTCAGTTGATATTGGCTTGTTGCAGGTGAATTGACGTCAGTGTGTATACACAGTTATATGCTCATATATTTCACAGTGTAAATATGGTCAGAATTTGTGTTCGGTGTTCAGTTAACAATGCACAAATACAAAATACACTGCATTTAAATTATAGAAATTCATTACAATCATGGAAACGGTTGAAGGAAAATGGCTTAGTATTCGCTCTTTCTTGCAAACACTCACACACAGGAATTGAGCACACAGATCTGGCTTGCCTAACCAATACCTCATAACTGTAGGTTCCTCTAAAGTGCAGTAAGGACATTGTCACATGAGTCTGCAGTTTGGGTTCGTTCAAAAACCAACCGACAGTTTCACTTTGCTCTGATATGATGTTGAAAGCGAGTTTGATGCAAGTTCTTTGTTTTCATCTGAATCGTTCTGCATTGTGAGTTGAGATCGTGGTGATCAGGGGGGGGAACCTCTACAGAGCCAAAAGTAGGATAAGGTAATATGTCAATGAACTCTTGTAAAGTATGGTTTACTGCAAATGTTGACACTTTGTCTTTCTGATGGTTTTTGTGCTCAATTGTTTTCACCTCCATCTTGTCTGTGTGTGTGATAACTGCGCACTGAAGAGAAACAGGTGTGATTGGTCGCGTCCTGTGATTGATGAACCAATCAGTCGGTTCAGTGATCCAGCATATTGCTTTATTATTGATGTATCGTCCTGTACCTCAGAGCACAGTCTAATCCTACTGTAAGATCCCTCACTCTTTGGTTCTCAGGATCACTAGATCACTGTTCACTTCTTAGGCTTCACTGGAGCTGAAATGGACTGAGATGTGATTAAGGATTGAGACCTGTAGCACTGTGTGACTACATATTATGTACTGTAGCTTGCTGATGTCAGGGCGTCCCGCTGGGACTGTTGCCCTGACACTGACTACTGTGAAGGAAGGATGAACTAATTGACATGAGCGCAGCTGGTGGGATGAATATCTGAAGGGCTCTGAGAGAAAATAATGAAGCGTGTTCTTATTTAAGCAGCAGCCATCATGGGAAGGTCAGATCCGACCCAGCTGCCTCTCTCTTAACCCTGAGGGTCCTGGGACCTCAGTTTGGGAACCACTGTGCTTGAGGAGCTGAGATCCACCCAGTCAGACAGCCTGCAGTCCAACCGGAGGACAGTATCTCAGTCAGTCCATCGCCACATATTTTCCATTTATAGTTCTTTCTTTTTATCATTCTTGCTACAGCAACCATATGTCAAGTCCCAGCTGAAGTCTGTATACATTCCATTAAAACAAGACAAAAACTATATAACCATTCTGGAGGAAGTTTGTTTTGGATAACGTTCTCAACATGGAGCTGTTGAATGGACAGTGTGCCAAATGTACAACTGCAAAAATGCCCCAACAAATGTACTTTTTCCTCCTGTTTGCTAAAAACTACTATATCCAGCTGTTGTAGGAAATCACTGAGCTTTGTTAAAAATGAAGCTATACATTTGTGTGCTTTTTTTTTTTTTTAAAGCTTTAGATCTTCAGTAGAAACCAGTGGGCTTGGAGCTGAGAGAGCCACAGATAGGGTAGGGATCCAGAAAGTATTGAGAGACGGATTATCGCATTGTGGATTTCTTGACAATAAGAAAACTATAGAAAGACAGCAGACTTTTGCCAAGCTTTGGCTTCTCTAAAGAAAAAGGATTTATCAGGATTTTAAAACTTCTTTAAAACACAAAATAGTGTCTTGAAATGCTACTTAAGAAGCATCCTTGTGTAGGGTCAAGGACAGGTATGTAGCCATCAGTATCTGTCATTAAACCAACCAGTCTGTCAGTAAGCCACCCACAAATCTCTAAACAGCCTGTCAGTCAGTCAGTGGTGGTGTGTCAGTCAGATACGTAGCAGATTAAACCAGATTTAGGACTCACAGTGGAGTTCTCTGTAATATAGCTGTATCACTTAGTTATCCAGCCAGCCAGTTATTCATTCATTCATTCATTCATTCAAGTGAGTGTGTACACTCAACCTTTTACATGTGACAGTTGACCGGATCAGACCAGGTTTATCCTTCTGGAGGACATAGTTGTGACACGGCATAACTATGTTTG